TGATATGCATTTCAAAAATTAGACAGTCGGCACGATGATAAAACTAGACTTTAATTGTTTTTAATTTAAATAGAATTACCTTTAAATAAACATAGTTGGCATTATTCCCCATGCATATAATGATTTCCCATTTATCATATGTTTAAAAATATCAATAGGTAGCAACTTTTGGAGAATCTTGGAAATTTCATTTAAGACTTCTGAGGACCATTTGCAGCTCCAGAACCTCAAGATTCGTAGACCTCTTTGCTCTACGAATTGCTCATTTATAGGAACTTCCTTTAGCAATAATGGTCATAGAAGGCTGTTCTGCAGTCCATTCACATTTTCTAATAAGTGAATTATTTGGAAGCACATTTCAACTTTTGCTGAGTAATTCTAGGACAAAACAAGAATGGTGTTTTGGCTGTGTTTTTTTTTTTTTTGCAATGGTAAGCACGTTTGCTGACATCCAACATAGGCCCAACAGTAAAGAGATTTCCAGGTTTTCTATTCCCTCCCCCCACCTCAACAGTGATATATCAAACCAACTCTGTCACAAACATTGGAGACATCACCTTATCTTTCAGCCGCACCAGCTGTTATCAGCAAGAATGAAATTTCCTTTTTAATATTTCATTTTAGCCCAAAATTACAGTTGATGTCCTACCCATATCAACCTGCTGTTTCTGATCTACGCTGGAAAGAGAAGAAGGGATGTGGGTCCCAGGGATGGTTACAGCATTTTATCACCGCCAACCCCCGATAATTCAGATAATTATCTCTAGGGCAGGGGTGGGCAACTGTGGCCCTTTTACAACCTGTGGACTTCAACTCCCAGTATTCCTGAGCCAGCTTGGCTGTCTCAGGAATTCTGGGAGTTGAAGTCCACAGGTTGTAAAAGGGCCACAGTCGCCCACCCTTGCTCTAGGGTATTTATTATTGGGGTGCCTGGGCAACTAAAGCAGCAATGTTAATCCACCTTGAAACAGATGCTCCCTATAGTGAGCCTCTCTCAACTCACTGCATCTCCATGAGAAACCTTGCAGGACCACGGAGCCTCAGCCTTTGAACGAATCCAGGAATTTGAGAGCCAAGGCTGAAGGTAAATCAACAGCTTGGAAAGAGGGTGTGGAAATATTGGGTATGGGTATCATTCTCTCCAAACAGTTTCAACAGCATTTTGAACCAGGATGGGAAGAGAACCACTTCCCAAAAAAAAAAAAAAAAAACACCCAGGCAGGGAAAATCTAACCTATTTTCTGAACTTTGCATGGATTCTTACCAGGACAGATACTAAATCAGACTCAAGGAAGTTGGCAGGGAGGCTTTACGGAGAGAGACAGAAACAATAATAAGAATTTCCTCCCTTTCACTGCATTCCAGATTTGCGTATATTATCAAGCCAAATTTTCATTGCCAATCAATGTCTTCATCTTTATTATTCATCCATGCAATTTCTTATAACATTTCTTCATATACATGCTACAATGCTACTATTTATGCTACAATTATTTTCTCTTTTTCTTCTTCACTTTATTCCAGACTTATTCTTAAGTAGCCTTTTGTTCCCCAATTTCATGTTTTTAGTCTTCCCCAGTAGTCCTTCTTAGTAGCAGCAAATTCTTTTTGTAATGATGGAGAACAAACTGTCATTATAATGATGGCTTCTCTTGACTCCTTTGGTCTCGTTTCTCTTTTGTAGCTGTCGGGTACTTTATACTACAAAAAACTGTGGGAAATTCTGGCCGATGAACAAAACAAAGCCATTGTCAGAAGGACTCAAGATAAGGCCAAGGCTGACAGAACATTCTACTGACAATAACTAAAGATGAGAGGGTTTTTTTAAAAAAATTTTAAATAAAACTTTATTATTTTTATAAAACTCAAGATGGCAAAGATATCTAATACTCCTTCATCCTCCTATTTTCCCCATAACGACAGCCCTGTGAGGTGGACTGGGCTGAGAAAGAGTGACTAGCCCAAAGTCACCCAGCTGGCTTGTATGCCTGATGTTTTCTAGCCTGGAGCCTTAATCACTAGACCAAACTGCTTTTCTTTTTTGGTTCTAAGGAATTTTTATTAGAAATATAATTCCTTCTCTCCTTCTATTTGTGTAGGTAGCAAACATGTTTATATTTGATGTAGTATAGTTGTAAAGAATATAAGTTTGAATGTTCTCAGTTCCAAATTGCTTCTGAAAGTAACTTACTGGGTGGAAGGGGGGGGTCTATTTTTTCTTAGCCCACACACCCACCACAACATGGGAATAATAGCGGCCTGCATTGTGAGATCATTGCAAGGACACAGTGCCATGAGAATTGTGATTATATCTTGCTAATACACCAAGGGGTTTTGTGGCTCCGTTAAAATTCAGATTAATTATAGCATAACCAATTCTGTTTAGCATAAAGGAAAGCATGGTCATAGGGTCCCAGCGTCAATATGCTTCCCTTTCTTCATTCTTCGATTGCAGACTTTTGAGGCATTTTTTTTTCTCCTAAGAAAGTTGTTCAATTAAAAGTAAACATACCTATTTATGTATCTATCCATGAGCGTAACTCGGGATATTATGTCCATTTTATAGAAAAAGAATCAGTGTTTAAATCATGGCTTGAAGTCAGGTTCCCTGTCTCTTAAGGCTCATTCAGGGAGATTGAACAATTCCAATCTTACGTTAAGTGCTGGGTCCATTTTCCCGCAGGAAGTTGAACAGCCAGATTTTGGATATAGTTATATGAAACTACTGTTCAAGTACCTTCTGACATAACCCAGTTTGCCTGATCACTTGATTCTAAAAATGGCTGAAAAGCATGGGCATGGAATTATAGCGTAGGAGGGGGATTCCTATGAACATAAAGTTTCTCTGTAGAGGAACTGGTTAGATTGATATGTCTGGACCATCTACCATATTTTCCAATATTGTGTAGTGAACATGATTGATGCACACTTTGGGGCGAGTGGGACATTCTCTATTTCATAACATTTTGTTAGCATTGTGCCTCTGCTCCTTCCACTATTTCAGCAACCCCACACTTTCATTTTGTGTGTGTTTAAGAAAGGGCAGTTGTCTTCCTTCCATTCTTTACTCAATACGGTTTTTTTACAGTATGTCAATCTCTCAGTCCAGGCTTTGTAAAAACGACGACACAACTCTTGAGCGACCTGTTTCTTCATTTCCAAGCAATGCTCTCCTTTCGCCATTCTGTTCTGACGGCCATACAGTCTATTTTCTTTTTAAATTTACATTTTGCTCTCTTAATAACTTGTAGCCTCTTTACTGATCATTAGCTGCCAAGCCATTTTTTCTCACACCTGATGTTCTCCACATTAATTTTTCATAGTAATTGGACAAAAAAAAATGCCATGTTTTCTCTGATTCCCCCCCCCCACTTTGTTTCCAACAACTGGAATGCAGAATGCTAGTTCACTTAACAAGAAGAAAAACTCAGAATCCCAACCCACTGTGGAAGAATTCAGAATACCAACACACTCTACCTGATCCTTTGTATATTTTGGCAACAGCAAGTCTTACAGCATTCACCAGGTCCCAATGCCAAGTATGAATGTTTCCCATCTATCTGTTAAGACTTATTCTCCAGATATAGAATCTCATCTTGCAAGAAATTGACAAGCATCGGCTATCTGTTACTTTATGCATCTATTATATCCTGCTCTTCAATTATTCAACTGGACCTGGATACCTTCGAGACCGTCTTCTGCCACCAGTAGCCTCCCACCGGCCACTCCGCTCCTACAGAGAGGGTCTCCTCAGGGTGCCATCAGCCAAATTATGTCGGATGGCGACACCCAGGGGGAGGGCCTTCTCTGTGGGAGCCCCTGCCCTTTGGAATGAGCTGCCCCCAGAAATTCGTAAAATCTCTGATCTCCGTGTATTTCGCTGTGCCCTCAAAACCTTGTTGTTCCGCCAGGCTGGGCTATCAGGGTAAAGATTTTAATTGGGTTTTTAAAAATGGGATTTTAAATTTGGGGTTTTAAATTGAGCCTATCATTTAATAATTTTAATTATTTTTAAATTTTGTCTGTCTTTGGGCTTTTAATCAGGCTGTACACCGCCCTGAGTCCTTCGGGAGAAGGGCGGTATAGAAATAAAATTAATAAATAAATAATAAATAAATAAATAAATTATCAAATCTATTTTATTTGTATTTTTTACAAACATCTTTCTGAATCACTGGTAATCTATCCACATTGTCCCCAAAATGTACAGCTTTAAAAACAATCTCAATTCACTAAGATACTCCTTTTTTTTGTTCACTTATTTGTATGCATCATATATTCTAAGACCACTTCATATGTTCTTAGAAGTACCGTAAATATTCTCTTCCACTGTAATCAGTAGCTTTCTCCAATCGTTCTATTATTTCTAACACATTTGGTTGGAACACTATCCCTTCCTTAATTTTTAGAAAAGGAAGAAAGCAGGCAGGTAAACCACCCGTTTTACTACTTCCAGCAGAGAAGGCATCTCATTTTTCCATTGCCTACGACTGGGGTTATGCCATACATAAATGCGAGAAGCCGCCTTCAGCATGAGAAATTGACAAAACTGCCTGAGAACCTGTTTTCTTTATCAAACCCAAGTTTGCAAAACAAGAGCTAAGATAGGGTACCTCTACCCATGTGCCAAATGCATTTCCCTTACAGACATAATCCCTTATGAAACATAAACCAGCCCTGTTTTATGTTTCAATTTCAGCAGACCAACTTCAGCTAGTTAGAGCTTATTTTCAGCTCTCTAGCCAACCATGGTGCCATTTCTTTTTTCAGCTTGTATTTTTCAGTCTAGTTTTCTTCTTTAATACTAGTTCCCTTTCTTAGCATTTCCAGACCATCTCTTGATCATCAACATCCCAAACATAAAGCAACAGGCATGTTTTAAACCACAGCATTTGGGCCATATAGTGGATCAAACTGACCTGATGCTGAGGGCAAACCTTCTCTACATTCTGAACGTCTTTTGGTCCACAGAATTGAAGAATAAGAAAAGTTGGACTGACCTTGGAGAAAGTGTTCCCACTTCTGGCTGCTGATCTGTTCAACTGAGCCCTCTTAAAAGATCCCAGCCTGTTGATGACAGAGGAGACCGAAGAGAAACAGGGAGGGGACCAAAAAAAAAAAAGCAGACACCCAAGTGATGTCTCCGCCTTCTCCAAAGGGCCCTGACAAGGAGGTTGAAGAACAGGGAAAAGGACTATATGTCTGTTTATATATGGGGGAACACTCATACAGCTTCCATATGAACCCAATGAAATTAACACTTTCCTACTGCAATCAATTCAAGCATAAGCTCCACAGTCTGAAGTTGGAGACTAGAAATCTAACTTCGGGGAACCTGTATTAAAGCCTGAAATGGCCACTGCGTTTAGTAAACTGAGGATAAGCATGGATGACAGAACTCCAGACCTCATCCAAACATAACAGGGGAATTTAAGTTTCTGCAAATTAAAAACAAAACAAGGAAGTTAATCATCAAAGTAACATATCTGTTGCGGTCTTATCTCTTACTAGTTGAATCCAGGAAGGTAAGATATCGTTTGCACAGACTTTCATGGTGGGAAGGATGTAGCCTTTCCCTCCCTCTCTCTTTTCTCCAGCTTCATATTACTGTTCTCCAGAGCTTTCACGTAAAGAAGGTGGTATAGACAGCAGATGGTAACTTCTGGGTTTGGATACTGAAAAGTATAGAGGGCACAACAGTGGAGATAAAAGTAAAAGAGGATAGTTATTCAGTAGAGAACAAGGTTATCAACAGCTGTACAGTAGATCACAAAAGTATGAGTGACCTGCACTGGAAGTAAGGCATCGATTTCTGGGAGACATAAAGAGGCGGTTGCTTGGGGCATCTTGAAGGCATCTAGTTGGCCATTATGGGAACAGAGTGCTGAACTGGCTGGTTCTTCGGCTGATTTATTTATTTATTAAATTTATTTGTCGCCTATTACACCAGGTGACTGGTCCAGCAGAGCTATTCTTCAAAGCAGAGCTCTGGCTTTATTTGTAATTAGTCTTGATCAGAAAAATGAGTCTGAGAGTGATGCTGAAGGACAGAGAAGTAGAACCAATAACTGGCTTCTTTGGCTCTCTAAATTAGTCTCAGTTAAAACATGGGTGCTGTTATCCTGCATTTAGGGTGGTTTTCTCCAGTGCCTTTTACAAATGGAATTGTCACTTCACAATTCACCCTCCCCGTTCCTCTCCCCTCCAGCTAAGAAATTAAATGCCTTTGAAATTAGAGCTTAAACACCTCTTGACATAAGGAGGGATGTCTAGAAATAGGTATTTATGGATGCAAAACGGCAGTGCACAATCTCCCCTTCCCCTCCTTGCAACTGTAGGTCTGCCTGTTCAGATAGTGAATTGCAGCAGGTGCTATCAGGTTAAGTTCCGGCGTTTGAAAAGGACAACTGGATTTGTTAGGAAGCAACTGTCATATTTAGTTGACCAGTCCATTCTCATTTTAGAAGACCGTGCAGCACAGACCATGATAGCAAGGTAAAAATTCTAACCTGTTGTATTATTTTAGTTGGTTGCACAGTCACCCAGATGTTTAGGCTGAATATTATTATCAATTTTTCTTTGATTCAAAGTATTATTTTTGTTCTTGTTTGTTACTGTTATCGTTGCAGAGAGTTGCCAGGTCATGATTTCATCTCAGGGAAGGCTATATTTTCCATGCATTAAAATTCTGCCTTTATTTGTAATTGGATCAGGGTTTACAAAAGCCACCATGCGAAATATTAAAATGCATTTGGAAGCAAGATGCTCTCCTATGCTATGGAAAAAGCCCCAGGAGACTTCTACCCTCTTCCCAATCTTGCTTGATTTCACTTGGAAGAATATATACAGTACGTCTACTTCCACCTTTAATACAACATTATAGTATAAGAATGCAAATGCTACAGAAAATATAGGTCTTGCTTGCAGTATTGTTTGGAAAGTGGGCTTAGAAATCAGCTTGCCTGCCTGGCTGCCGTATAGCCCTCACAAGTGGCAATAGAAGCTGGGGACCTAGTGAGGCTATGTTTCTGAAGGGCCCATTTCACTGCAAGGATGTGAGGAGAGGGGAGCAACTATAGGATTGTTTGCAGGATATGATCATTCCCATCATTCACTGCAACACTGAGGAGGTCTGGGATTGCCTCTCTTGAATTGCCTGTGGGTTGCTTGGGACTAAGCCAGCATGGTTGCTCTTCCTCCTTTTAGCAAGCTTGTTTCTGCAAATCTTGCCACCATTTCACAGGTGTCATTTGGTCTGGCTGAGTCAGGGAGCAGAGTGGTGCCTGCGAGCCAATCCTTTCAGTCACTCCCTTGAATTTCCCAGCCTGTGCATCATGCAGCTTGCCGCTTACCCCAGCCCAGCTCTTGGGGTGGTGCGAAAGCTGCAAGGCATAGTAGCTCTGAGTTAGCAGAGCTGGGCAGCTCTGATAAGGCCTTATCAGAAGTCTGAACTGACGGTTTGGGCTCTGAGTGACAGGGCAGAGCTAGGAAGCAAAACATTCATTGGTTGCGTGGGTGATTGCTGGGGAGCAGCTTCTCTGAAGACTTCGGAGCAAGAAAAACAGTTGCAAACTGTAGTCTACTATCAGGCATCCTAGAAAAGGCCAAAACTGGGAAAGGGCCCAAAACCCGAACATTTCCTCAGGGCAAGTCAGTGCTCATTCCTCATCTCAGTGACAGAGACATGAGCCAAAGTCAAGTTGCTAGTCCTCACATTTTAAATTAATTAAAAGTGAAGCATTTTAGTTATTTTCATTATTTATATCCCACTTTCCTCACTGTTGGACAATCATGTTATAATTATGGCAGACAGACATTGTACACATATATTATCAAGAGGAAGGAAGGTAGAACCGCTTTTGGGAACTGGGAAAGAATGAGGGAATCGTTAAGAGGGCATTTGAGAAAAGATTACTCTGTCCTGAGAAAAGGAAAGCATAAGGAAAAAACTCAGAATATCCCCTTTTTGTATGTTATGACATGGGACAGAGAGAAACTCTTGCAGGTTTCAAAGTTCTGTTACTTAGAATAGAATAGAATAGAATAGAATAGAATAGAATAGAATAGAATAGAATAGAATAGAATAGAATAGGAATTCTTTTTTTTTTATTGGCCAAGTGTGATTGGACACACAAGGAATATGTGTCCAATGACACATGAGAGCATGGTGCATATGCTCTCAGTGTACATAAAAAGAAAAGATACATTCGTTAAGAATCATAAGTACAATACTTAATGATAGTCCTAGGGTACAAATAAGCAATCAAATCATACTAAGAAACAATCTACACAAAAATAATGAAGAATATTCCTGCAATATTTGCCACGCTTGTTTCTTGACTTGGCCTACCTCAAAGAAAGCTTGATCAACGTAGCCTTTTCAATTCCAAGTTTTCTTACAGAATGCTCTTTTTCTGTTGTATTTGTTTCTCCTCTTCTGCCTATTACAGCCTCATTTCTCATTCCCATGATTTTCTTCCAAATAATAATAGCTTTCCTGAAAAATTCTTGACTTTTTTTTTGTTTGTTTGTTTAAAAAGAGGGTATAAACTACAAACCAACTGTAAAACTATGCCTACTGAGTTTGGCACCTATTTCAGACTTTCATTTCATTACAAACATGAAGGCTAGAAACTTAAAACTCTTGTCCTTTTTGAGAATGTGTTGAAGTTGTGGGACATCTCTTTCTTTCTGTGTAATGATATTGTGCCAATCCTGTGTTCATTCTTGAAAGGAGTGGCGGACAGAATCAGAGTAGGTTTCTGATGCAAAATTCAGTTGAGATGTCCAAGCAGTTCACTGAATATTGCTTTATCTCTGAAATCACATGAGAAGAGCCTCAGCAACGCCACTTCTGTTACCCCATTTGCACAACAGGTACCCTCTAATCCTGAGAATGAGACAGATTGTAGGTCTGTAATAATAATTTTAAAGATTTAAAGGAGAACCCCCATTATCCACCACATTAGCAATTTCACCAATAATACCACAATGGGTAAAATTATATCTTTTATTCAACAATTTGCACAAAAACGTTCCAGGATTTATTTATTTTTTCGTGTTCACTTTTTGCTTTACTTCCTCAATAGCTACCCATTGAAATAGGCCAGAATGAGTGTGACTGGTCAAAATTTATCTGGTGTGTTTCCACAGCCAATAATGGACTTAAAGTTAGGTCTATTTCAGTACTCTAGTTACTATACCATTATATAAAATTCAGAGATCCATTGATGGCCCCTTCTCTTTAAGACAGTGGCAGTGGCAAAATTGGAGCCACTTTAAGGTATCAGGTTAGAAACTGGGAAATTGTGAGTTCTAGTCCTACTTAAAACATCAAGCCAGCTGGGGGACCTGGACCAGGACTCTTTCTCAGCCCTAGGAACAGGCAATGGCAAACCACTTCTAAAATCTTGTCCAGACTATCTCACTAAGCGAGTACAAAATCTCTCTTTCCTGTTGGGAGTGTCAGTCAGACAAAGCTAAGAAAGAACATCAGATGGCTTCCTAATAATGGCAGCCACTGATCTATTGAAAGGCCTTGTTACTGGGGGCGAGAGTAAGAGGGATTGGCAGAAACTCAGTCCTACGCATGAGACGCTCTTTTGGAAATTCAAAAGAAATCTTTGCTAAAGCTATTTGGGGACAAAATATTTATTTTGTGGTTTCAAATGTCCCTCCCCTATCTTCACTTCAAACCCTTACTCACTGCATGAGAATATCTGGAGATGGAGATTGATAGAGTCTTAGTTTTAAAAGAAAGTGATGGGGTGAGAGCTAGTCTAGAGCATTACAGAGCATGTAATGAGGAAATCAGCCATATTTATATATCTTTCTCTATCCAGACACTTTGTAATAAAATACCAGCTCTGGATGTTCCTGCCATCTCAGATGAGGTAGGAAACTTCCAAAGAGAAGGCTTTTTCCATGGTGGTTTATGGTCTAGGTCAGTGATGGCTAACCTTTTGGCTGTTGCGTGCCAAAAGCGGGGGGAGCACAGGGGGGTTGCGTGCGCATGTGTCCACAACCATAATTCAATGCGCCCCACGCATGTGCACACAACCCCCTGCACTCCCCCCGCTTTTGGCATGCGATGGCATGGTAGGCCCGGTAAGTCCGTTTTTCGCCCTCCCCGGGCTCCAGAGGCTTTCTTGGAGCCTGGGGAGGGCGAAAATGTCCTCCCCGCCCAGAGGCCCTCTGGACACTGGAAATGGCCCATTTCCTGACTTCCAGTGGGTCCGGAAGGCCTGTTTTTTGCTCTCCCCAGGCTCCATAGGCTTCCCCACCGCCTTCCCCACGCCCCAGGAGGCCCTCCAGAAGCCGGAAACGGCCCGTTTCCCAACTTCTGGAAGGCCTGAAAATCAGCTGGCTGGCACACACATGCATACTGGAGCTGAGCTAGGGCTTGTTTGCCCACAGATATGGCTTCATGTACCACCTGTAGCACGCATGCCATAGGTTCGCCATCACGGGTCTAGGTATTTCTCTCCTCTGAGATTCTTAACTAGCACAACTTCATGGATGTTTATGGAGATTCTCAATCATCCAGGTCATGGTTATCCCAAAGGTGCTTTTCCCAAAAGGCAACTGGACTTTTTTGGGGTTTTTTGTTTTTCCTTTGAAAACATTTCACTTCTCATCCAAGAAGCTTCTTCAGTTTAAAGAAAGGCTGGAAAGGCTACTTAAGACGACATTATGTCACAGCCTTTCTTGTGTAAGAAGGCTGTACAATCTGATGATATGGGTGAAGGAGCTAATCCATGAGGTTGATAAATCATCAAGTATATTAAAAAAAAACCAACTCAAATGGGAGCTGGAAATTGATGTGGCCACTAAATTGCAACCTTTTAAAATTTCATGTGTGGGTGACTTTTATTTAGTTTGGCAAAAATGGTACACATGGTTAGAAAGAAGGATAGGGCCAACAACATAGGACATTAGGAGAACATAACTCAAGAATTGTAGAAATAGATACATGAGATGAGCCGTAGGATTGTATAAATAAATGGTTAATATGATTGTAGAAAGATACTGCTGAACTTCAATGAATGTATTAAGGTATAAGCAAGTAAATTTGTAAATAGTATGATTAAGGAAAATTGATTAAATGGACATTAATCACCAATGCGAAGGTTTTCTAGAAGTTAGTCGATTGACTTTTTGTTAATGTATAAGTGTTTACATGTATTTGTGTTTTACGTTTGTTTATGTTAATAAAATTTAATTAAAAAATAAAATAAAATAAAATAAAATTTCATGTGTGGGATACCTCCCCAGTTCAGGCATTTCTTCATCCAAATTTACCGTGTTTCCCCGAAAATAAGACCCTGTCTTATATTTTTTTAAACCCTGAAATAAGCGCTTGGCCTTATTGCCATGCACTCAAAAGCCCGATTGGGTTTATTATCAGGGGATGTCTTATTTTGGGGGAAACAGGATAGTAAAAAAAAAAACAAAATAAAACAAATCTCCCGGATCAACATTTCACCATCATCCACAACCTCTCCCTTGCCTTATTTGATCTTTCAATTAAGAAACCTTAAAGTAAGATCTCCGGTCAGAAGTACCCCACAGTATCATGATCTCTTTAGTCAGTCTCTGGAAATGCAGCCATATTGTTTTCTGATTGTATTTGGTTTGCTTTATCAGGCTAAGATGTTGCAGCACTATATTCTATACAGCCAGTGGCAGGATTGGAAAAATAGCATTATGAGGTATAGATGTATAATTTGAGAACAAGAGGGAATATGTTTCATAAATTAGCCCTCTGAAAGAGAATAATTCAATATCAATAATGCACATTAGTATTTGTAAAACACCCTTTCTCTTCCTTCTTAGTCTAGTGTTGCTTAGCAACATCTTAGCATAACAGATGTTTCTTAGGAGGAGAGCACCTATTTTAAATTTCCAGAGGATGGTTCAGATGATCTTGGAATGTGGAAAGTTCCTTTCCTTCAAGTAAAATCAGATGTACAGCATATACATGCAAAGAGTGGATTTTGAGGTGGGGTACCTCTCTCTCTCCCCCACACCATCTGGGCAAAATTGAAGTATTAAGTCTCCCAATTCTGAAACAAGAAATGCCAGAAGCATTTTGCAAAACTAGTAAAAGCCCTTATGCAAAACTAGTAAAAATGTAAAGCAAAGAAACATTCTCCAAAAATGCTGCCTCTTTGCCCTTTAGGCACCCCAAGCTCCACCCATAGGCTGGAAACAAGCAGCTAATCCATGATGCAGCAGGATAGACAAGTAGAGATAAAGTTATCTTTAGAAGCCAGGCAGTGTGGTGAAAAGAAGCACCAGCCAGGATAATGACCAAGGAGTTCCAACGGAGTCTCAAGATCTTTGGCCTGCCTGCTTATCCATCCTAGTCTATTCAACTCCACTCTCAGCAATGAAAAAGAAAGAATTTCCACCCTGCCCATCCTAATCTTAAAGAGTTTTTCTCATTCCTCACTTAAGCTGTAAACTCTTTTCTACACGGTTGCAGCTATGTAGACGTAATTGACATCATTAATATTCTTTAGAGAGGAAAAAAACACTATTCCTCCTTACGGTTAAGAAAACTTCATGGTAGTGAAGATACAGTTGAGACACTTCAGGATAGTTGCCATAATCTAGAAACAACTACTGCATATAGCACCAAGACTCAAACGTCTAGAATAAGCCCAGGTACATTCAGTCCCATGTTATTTAATCAATGATTCATAGCTAAATTGAGGATTGGATCATTCCCCATATGTAGAATATTTTTGAAAAAGAAAATAGAATGCATGGATGGATGGAACTCTTATATGTGGAGATCTTTGTAACAATGGACCTACTCGATGGAGACCAGGTGGGTTTCAGGAGATTCTGACCAGTTCTGGAGAACCGGTAGCGGAAATTTTGAGTAGTTCGGAGAACCGGTAGTAAAAATTCTGACTGGCTCCGCCCACATCTATTCTCTGCCTCCTAAGTCCCAGCTGATCGGGAGGAAATGGGGATTTTGCAGTAACCTTCCCCTGAATTGGGGACGGAATGGAGATTTTATAGTATTCTTCCCCTGGAGTGGGGTGAGAATGGAGATTTTACAGTATCCTTCCCCTGCCACACCCACCAAGCCATGCCACGCCCACTAAGCCACACCCACAGAACCGGTAGTAAAAAAAATTTGAAATCCACCACTGATAAGAGACCTAATCTGAGCATTACTGTGGTGGAGAGTGTAGTAAGGAGGTGGATTTCCAAAAGGGAGAGGGTGCATAGCAGAGGAGTAAGAGTCAACTCAGCCCAGATACTATGTGTGTGAGAAAGAGGATGAAGGCAGCCCCTCCCTAATAGTTCACAGACTATATTGTAGATGCAGATAGTAGAGTGCTCAGCCTGGCCCATTAAAAAAAAATCTAGTTTTGTGTGAAACTATTAATAAAGAACTCAGTTTGGGAGAATCATCATATGCCTTTCTTGGTTCTGGGCCTGATGGTTACTAAAGGTTCTGAGAGGCCCAACAGAAAAAAAGTTCTTATGAAGAGTATAGGTAGTTCTCAATTTACAATCACAATTGAGCCCATTTGTGTTTTTAAGCAAGGCAGTTGTTAAGTGAGCTTTGCCCATTTTACAACCTGTTTTGACAGTTTTTAAGCAATGCTGTAACAGTATGAGAACCGGTCATATGTCACTTTTTTCAGTGTCGTTGTAACGTTGAATGATCACTAAACGAATGGTTATATGTCAAGAACTACCTGTATTTATGGTTCTCCTCAGATGTGTACCATTATTATAATTATAATGCTTACCTTGCTTCCTTTTATTATTTTCATGTCCCATTCCACAGTCAGACACAAAGCCCAACTAAATTTGCACAAAATCAACATTATTGTTACTTTCACTAAGGGAAATTTATTTGCAAACTGTCAAAAATGATTGCTTTCTTAGATCAAATCATCAAACCGCATCCTTTGTGTAACTTGTATTATTTGTTTTGTGCCAAAAATGATTTTGAAATATTGTTTGGCAAAAGTAGGTTTTCTCCCCCAGTAAAATTACTCCCTCTAACCTTTTGCAAATGGAACTGATAACTGAACAGCAAAAAAATAATTGTTTGGAAACAATCTTAAAATCCTGGCCTGGTATCAAAAATATGCAAAACAAAAAAAGGTTGAACAGATACAGGAACCAGGGGAGTGCATAAATCAATACTCAATGTCTGGCAAATGTGTAATTTTTCTAGATCTTGTAAAATAAATAAATAAATAAATAAAAATTAAATAAATAAAATTAAAAGGTGGTTTTGCTGATTCTGCAAATATTTATTTAAAACCTGATATTTTGATTCTCTCTATTGTTTAGAGTTCTTTATGTAAGAACTGTTGTTTTGAGCCTTTAAAAAGAATAAAATTTTAGTCAGTTTGAGATCAGAAGGTAGCCCAGCTCACTCTAAAAGTAACAATTCAATTTTTTTTAAATTGTAGGGGGAAATGTGGAGAAAATAATGTATTGGGGGAATAAGGTACTGCCCATTTTACTTCAATTGAGAGAGTTGAAGGAGGAAAAACTGGGCCTGGTTTGAGTTTAATAACTGTGTTTGCTTTTTAGCTGAGCCTAACTTTATACACAAACACACAGCCAAGTTCGTTAAACAGAGCAATTGCAATGAGCGCATGTAAACTAGCTGTTGTTTCTGCAGTCCGGGAAGACTCAAAAATGAGTGATCATTTTACTTTTTTTTTCTTGGTAGGTCAGGATTTTGCATCAGTGATTGTGAACCTGGGAAACTGTTATTCTTTCTTACTATTTATTTATTTTCTCCCCTTTCCTCTTCCCCACAAAATCCCTGCTTCATCAACATCAGAGTTAAATCTAGGCAGGTGATTTCTAAATCAGGCCAGGTCTTAAGCACATGATCTGGGGTAGCGGCAGCAATCCTCAAAAACGCCTCAAAACTAAGAGCGGGAGAGAAATTGGGCCTTTTCTACCCTGCTTCAGAAGATCAGAGACCTTGTTCCCCTGAATACTTCTGGGCCTTATTTTGTTATCCCAAGGGGGAAAAATGTGGTCGGGGGAATATCAGGACAAACTATGTGTATGCATTTTTTAAAATGCACATTTGTTTCCATGTCTTGTGTAGTTTTGCTTTGTTCTTGTGTATTTTTTTCTTTTGTTTGGAGTTTAATTTTGTGAATAAAATAAAAAAAAATCATTGGAAAAAAGGAAGAATATCAGGAGAGAGTTTTGTCACATTCCTCACTAGATGGGTTTTGTAAGTCTTTGGAGAGAACACTTTTACTTGGTCCTTCTGCTGGAGTAGCAGCTTAGCATGGTCTCGGCTCCCTCTTTTGTCATCTGCTGCCACCAAATCACTCAATAAATTGGTTCCCTTGAAAATAAAAGGGGACAAATGCAGGCTACACATACTGCTCCTTCCCAGTCTCTTTTTGCAGAATTTCAGCCACAAAATATCTGCCAGAAACTACTGAATTCAGCCATCCAATAGGCTCACGTATGGTGGACAAAGTTAAAACACCTTCATGCTTTTGAAAATACTGGATTCGTTTCAGCCATCTGTGTGATATCACTGGGTTACAGGCTTATGGTTACCCACACATAGAGCCAATAAATGCACAGCGCCTTCCCACAAGAATTTAAAGTGCCTCAGGATGAAGAACCAAACTTGCTTCACGAGATGGTATAAAAGCCAGACTTTAAAGGAGAGCAATTTTATACATCAATCACATACGGTGCCACCAGTTCCAGATCTACAACTGACCCTTCCAGGGGCTGCTCCACATGGAAATCACGCTGGTGCTGGAGCCCCTGACGAATCTTTTTGCCCCCACGCTGGGGAATTGGTAATTCTGAGTGGTGGGCCGGCAGAGGGGGCGTGAAGAAATAGGGATGCAGAAGTGCCTAAGGAACAAAAGGAAAGAAATCATCTGACTGGCTCTGACCAAATCCGATAGTGTCTCCCACTATGGCCACATTGAGAATCCTGGAAACTCTCAGAAAGCCTCCCTCAATTTTGGGGGGGGGGGGGACAGAGAATTGGATCTCCTACTGGTTGAGCATTATGGGAAGTACAGGTAGTCCTTGAGTTACAATTGTAATGAAGCCTGCCCATCACAATCGTATGGTTGTATGATATGGTTGTGAAGTGATTTTACGACCTTTTTTGCATCAGTCATTAAACAAACATTGTAATTGTTAAGTAAGTCCATGGTTTGCTCTGGGCCAGAAGTAAACGCCAATTTTCAGCAAAACCCTTGTAAAACTGATGTTGCAAATGGCCATAAATGCAACCCAACCGCTAAGCCACTAAGTGTTCGTGTTATCTTGGGGTGGTCGGGGTGTCCAAGAGTTGGAACTTCAAATCCGGGTCATAAGTACCGTCTGGGTAGGTCCGTTAGAATTTTGAACTGTTGCTAAGCAACTGGTGATAAATCAAGGACTACCTGTATCAGCTAGGGAAGGCTGCTAACAGCAAAAAGGGGATATGGGCCATTCATGCTGGATGAACAAAGTTTGAGCAAGCTTCTACCATGCAATCCCTCCACTTTGTTCACAGAATTTCACATGAGGTGGGGGGTGTAATTTCCCTCTTTAAATCTTCTCATGTTTTCCCACTACTGTTTAGTATTGTTTCTTTTTTTAAAAAAAAACATATCTATTAAGGTGGAATAGTTGCATGTTGCCTTTGAATTAGTACCACAGGTTGCTCATTATCTAGAGAAGCTTCTTTAGGGAAATGGACATTCGTAGCTCTGCAAAAGATCATAGATCATCCACTGCAAAACAGCAAAGTAGGTTGGAGTGCCCTCTTTTGGTGATAACAGAATGAACTTGCTTTCTTCTCAATGAGCAAAATTTCTCAAGAAATTTTATAAGTAAACTGTTCCCCAGGTTTGATTTTCAACAAATATCCAAAATAAGGATACAATCTTTGGCGCTCTTAGGGAATTCCAAGAGATAGCCTAGATCAGGTTTAAATGCAATACAAAAGTGCTTATAAAACCACTACTTATTTTCTCAGCTTCCTTGTTACAAGCTAAGCCTGGGGTAGGGAGTGGAAGATGCCCACAAGTGGGTAAATCTAAAAGAACTCCATAGCAGGGGACAATCCAATTTCACCCCTGGACTATACTCTTGCTTTCATCTGCAGTTGTTTGGCAGCTGACATTAACCTCCAAAAGCAATTTTACTAAAGCAGGGTCACAACTTCAATCTATCAAAATTTGGCACTCATAAAAATTCTATGTCCACTACTTTCTCCGACGTGTGAAAAATGTGTTTTTTAAGAAAGCATCATGGCTTACTGAGCATGTAATTGGGTTTGGACAGTCACAAGGGACTCAAACTACTCCTTCCTTAATCTACATGTAGTAGTTTCAAAGAAAGACTCATACATACTGACTTCGGCCAATACAGATAGTCCTCAATGTACGACCACAATTGAGCCCAAAATTTATGTTGCTAAGTGAGAAATGAGTTTTGCCCCATGTTATGACTTTTCTTGCCACATTTGTTAAGTGAATCACTGCACTTATTAAATTAGTAACACGGTTATTAAGTGAATCTGGCTTTCCCATGGACTTTGCTTGTCAGGAGGTTGCAAACAATGATCACCATGGACACTGAAACCATCATAAATGTGGGTCAGTTGTCAAGCGTCCAAATGTAAAACACGACCATGGGGATGCTGCAACAATCATAAGTGTCAAAAATGGTCATAAGGTTTCATTTTTCAGCGCTGTTGTAACTTGGAACGGTCACTAAGCAAACTGTTGTAAGTTGAGGACTGCCTGTACACTGTGTTGCTTCACACAATCCCATAAAGCTCCTTGCTTTGTTCTTTGCAGGATGCTGCACTATACCGGCAGCCTCACTGCTCCCCCTTACCTGGGCTGCCTGCATACGTTGCTTCGAAGGATAAACCAGGAATTCTTTCAGGAGCTGCACTGCTTGTGGAGAAGCATCAGGGACCACCTGCTCCAAAGGGATGGGCTGCTTCTCTTTGAAGGAGATTTTGTTGTAATCAGGCAACTCTGTAATCTCCTGTCCCAGCAAAAGAATAACAGTGGGGGGACTTGGCTGTTGGTTTCTTCACTTTTAAAGGTCCACGCTCCTCCCCCAGGCCCTAATCCCTGCGGGCGAGCTAATGGTTATTGAACCCACCGGCCAGGTCTTTTGATTAGGTGTGCCAAGCACCCGGAGGACACAACACAGCTGCTCAATATCATTTTCTCCAGGGAAGAGGGGAGAATTGTTGAGAAGTTCAGCAAAGATGCAGCCGACCGCCCTGGTTAAAGAGGAAAAAAAGAGGTAGCTGGATGAAGGGATAAAGGGAAACATCTCCATCATCCAAACATTAATCAGGATGATGGTAGTAACACTTTTACTGATCTAGGAAATATATTATAGGTAAATGTTGATTATTGTGATTCTGAGTGATTTCCTAGCATTTTGGAGAAACCTGGATTTTTTTTTTAACTTTCCTTCAACATCTGCTTTATAATTTCCTCCCTTAAAAAGTATAATTGTATTGGATTCCCTTGGCAATTTTCCACCTACTGTGCATATCAATTATGCACAGTATAATCTGGTGGTATTGTGGTCAAGGCTTTCAGTCAGTTCAGCAACTGCATCTCTAACACTCCAAGGCTGCCCCCTTAAAACAGCCCAGAAATAGAACAATCCAGACTGATTAAGTGAAAGAGATCAAAGCTGCTCACCACAGGTCTACACCTTCATCATACTTTCGAGCACCGTACAGCAGTTCTGGAGCCCGATACCACCTAATTGGGAAAAGTACACAAATTATATTATACACAACTCTATTCATCTCTCACAATGAAACTCAACTCTAGTCCCCATAATTTTCAAGTGTGGTGCCAACAAGACTCCAGCACCTTTTTAACATTTAGGACCTATTTCAAAAATCTTGGAATAAAGTCTGAACTGGGAATCTAAGGACTCACTCGGAATGTCGCTGAGCTATGTTGTCCAACTTCCATTACCACTAAACACATTAGCTGTAGCTGTGGTTACTACGAGTTGGAGATGTAGGCATCTTCCAGTTTGATTCTCTCTTCCCTGGCTAAATGCTCAATCCACACCCCATGCCCATTGCTATTTACCTGGTGGCCACTTGATGGCTATATAGTCTGTCTCCATCACTGGTGAACACCCGAGCCAAACCAAAATCAGCAATTTTCAATTGCCCTGTGGAACTGATCAGCAAATTGGCTGGTTTCAGATCCTGAAACGACAAGGCAAGAATTTGAAAACATCTTAGAAGCTAAGGAAGAACCAGATGCACAGCATCAATGGGTCAAATAACAAGGTGTGATCTTCCTGGGAGAAGGAAGCCATCTTATGGTCAAACTTGACCAGGCCTCACCCGGTGCATAATAGAGTTGGCATGACAGAAAGCCACCCCCTTGAGCAGCATCAGCATGTAGCCTTTCACTTGGGCTTCAGTAAGAGGCTGTTCAGAGTTGCGGATCACCTCGGACAGATCAGACAGCATATACTCAAATACCAACACAAACCCTGTGCCATGAGGGAAAACGTCTTTCAATTGCACCACCTAAAAGAGAGAAGTTAAACAAGTTGGATTCAATATTGGGTGACCTGTCCCACAATTGATATCATAAAAGATTTCCCTAGGCTTCCATCCTCAGTATAGCGTGTTAAGTGACTGAATGTCTGACACAGTATGAGCCATCTGAAAGTGTTTACAAAGCCTTAAATTATATTATTCCCCCCCCAACATCTACAGTATCTTTATGCTGGACACAATTCATTAAGCTTCTTTAAGATGGTCAATTAGCGCTCCAAAAGAAGTTTGTGAGTAAAATTGACAGGAAATTGCTTCCACTCCCACTGCTTTTTGCCCATCTGTGGTCATTCTGCTTCTCTGATTAAGTAAGGAAATGTCTCTGAAACAATGACCCAGTGGGGCATGGGTTATCCAATTATTAGGTAAAAATCTAGTGATTAATATAGCCGGTTTTTACATGTTTCTAGAAGATCAAGGGAGTGGCAGCAAGTTGTTTCAGTGGAAGGGAAAGTCGTGACGAAGTTATAATGGCTCAGTTCATCCATAATCTTGATCTGACTCCCTTCCTCAGGTTATTTTGCTTTAGTGCGATATGTAAACCAAGCTAATTTGTTCTGAAAGGTTAGTTTATTGGAGGCCTGGCCTGAGATGGAACTTGAGAATCCCATTAACTGATCCAGTTAACTCATGAATCCTCACTTCCACAAGCTACTCACATGCTGGTTTTCCTCAATCTCCTGCAAAGCCTTGATCTCCCGCAGGGCTTGGTTGGGGATCCCATCCTCCAGCTTGCGGAGAGCCACTTTCTTCAGGGCCACAGTCTCCCCAGTCTGCCAGGTAAGGGAGCAAAATAAAAATTGGAAGTAGATGTTCATCCCCAGAACTTGAGCGGGGGGGGGACAAAGCTGGCTATATTGGCATCAGAGATCATGAGGAATTTCGCTTACTTCTATGTTCTTGGCTTTGAAAACAATGCCATGGGCTCCTTCTCCAATACGGCCAAGAATGCTATATTGATCCATGGTGCCTTCTCATAACTGAAACAGACAAAGAAAAGTCAGCTCATCTGTTCCAGCCTGGGATTCATGCATTCTTATTAAATAACGTGTGATTCATTTTTCCCTTTTTCTTTGTTAAAAGTATGTCCCACTTTTCTCTCAAGCTAACATTAGACTGCTAACCTAACCACTCCAAAAAGTAAACGTAATTTAAAACAATTAAAATTAGCTTTAAAATCTATATAAAACTACAAACAGTTCAAAAGGCTCAAAATAAAGAACTACATCTGATGACAAACTTTCAAATAGCATAAAAAGCAGGGTCACCTCTCATCTTGCATCTTGTATGTTCTTGCACTATTTTTTTTTTTGAAACCGGTTAACTAATTTTGGCTTCCAACAAAGAAAATTAAGTCACTGAAAAAATGCAACTAACAAGAAAAACAAAAAACCATGGTCTTTACAGAATCAAAATTTCTTAATGGGGAAGCCATTTTGTTAAATCAATTTTAAAAACATTCTATGACTTAAATCTTTGATATAATTCTCTATCTTTGAATTAATTTATTGAAATCAGTGGGCGTATTTGTTTATATATTTATTCAATTTGGATGCCCGTCTCAACAAGTGGCTCCTGGCGGCGAACATAAAATGAATCAAAACAAATTTCCATTATAATATACACACATTAAAATGCACACAGCATTTGAAGAAAATATTACGATATAAGGCCATGAAGACTTGTTCCTCCAGCCACTTGGCCAACTGGGAGTTAAGTACAACACATATATATTTGGGATGGGAGTATAATGTTATCTCAGTTGTATATAGTGTTATCTTTATGTAGCTGTTGTTAGGTAGCCAGGATAATATTGTATAAGATGAGTAGCCTTATAAATCTTTTTAATACTATAAATAAATCTGAACTTTCTCTGCTCCAGCACATATACAGAGTGGCAAGATTTTTTAAAAGTCGGAATTCTTGGTGGTATAGAAGAGAATTTCAAGCAAACCAAAGTAAACTTCCAAAATGCATCATAGGATATTAACTAGATTACTTTGTGGATTTCTCCAGTGTTGATTTCAAGATTCTTTCACAAGGTATTATAATATTGAGGAAGCAAAGTCAGTCTGTTCTTATAATTCCTTTTCCAGAAAAATAAAACATAAAATAACCCAGCCTATTATAAATTAGTCAATAGTAAAATATTCCATTTAAATAGGATAGGAATACACCAACTACAAATCATATTATATGGGATGGGAGTTCAAGTTCAACATCAATCAGAATATAACAAATAAGTATTAATTCCTCAATAATATTTGATCAGCTTGGTTTTATTAAAAGACTCAAAAGCAAAACCACCTCTTGTTTAAGTGAATTTTTTTTCATTATTGGACCCAGATTGTTGGGGGCAATATGTTGACTCTGTAAACCGCTTAGAGAGGGCTGTAAAGCACTGTGAAATGGTATATAAGTCTAAGTGGTCCTTAATACCAATAAGACCAAGGAGCTTATAGTGGACTATAGAAGGAATAGATCAGACATCCAGCCCTTGCTTATCAATGGAGACCGAGTGGAGCAAGTAGCCAGTTTTAAGTTTCTGGGTGTTATCATAAAAGAGGACCTGACCTGGGGCACTCACATTGCAGCACTGGTCAAAAGGTCCCAGCAGAGATTATACTACCTGAGACTTCTCAGGAAACAACAACTGAATGAAAAACTGCTGGTGGCCTTCTACCGCTGCACCATAGAGAGTATTTTAATTTACTGCACCTGTGTATGGTTTGCCAATTGTACAGTGGCAGATAGGACAGCACTCCAGAGGGTTAACGTCATTGCCCAGAGGATCATTGGTTGCCCTCTCCCCTCTTTGGAAGAGCTTTATAGCTCCCGCTGCCTTAAGAAAGGTCAAAACTTTCTTAAAGATCCATCTCATCCTGGGCATCCTTTTTTTGAACTTTTACCATCTGGCAGATGGCACAGGATAATAAAAACAAGAACAAATCGGCTGAAAAACAGCTTCTATCTCAGGGCAGTAACTATATTGAATTCTACTGTATAGTGCAATATTAATGCAATATCGGATTTTCAATTCAATTGTATAGAATGTGAAGGATGTGTTTGTGTTTTATTTTTATAATTATAATGTACACTGAAGATGGCATTTAATTTTGTTGTACGAGGTGCAATGACAATAAAGTAAACTAAATTAAGTGCTATTGCTATTTAACCTGAGCAATTTTCTCAATAACTGAGACCTAGTTGCTCTGAAATACAAGTCTGGCATATAATTTAGAAAGAGAAATATGCATAAAACCTATCCCAGATATCCGAGTTGAAATGTTAGGATAGTTGCTTTGAAGAGGATAAAAAACCAAATTCCTTTGTATGTGCCGAGATGATCCCATCACCCACCCCATCTTCTTTAATCCAAAAACACGAACATGGGAAGCAGTTTTTATCATACATTAAACCATCAATTTCAACAGTTCTCCTGGATTAGATGGATCTCTAGATTAGATTAGATCTCTATCACTGGTTCTGCAAACAGGATTTCACAGCAGGAACGTTCTCTCACTTCTGGACTGCCCCCAAACATATTCAGTGGTATACTGCTATTGAATATAGAGGTTCCTTGTTTTACGAAATATTTAACACCCAGCAGGCATTAATTTTTTGCAAATATACCTAGGGTCTTTTCAGAGACATCTAAATTTAAGATATGACCATCGTAATACACTAAAGCAATAAACGGGATTAATTCTAATTATACTATTAAATTGCCCATCCAACCGGGCAATTGCTCAAGATCTAACTGTACGAAAGAAATAGAAAAATCTATTCCTACATACTTTCTCGTTACGGTGCACGCACATATTTAAAATGTGAAAGAGGCAAGTTGCCTTTTTTCTCTCTTAGCCTAAGACGCTAATGCACCGCTTTTCCTAATGCATAATGGTAATAATGGTGGTTGTCTGCTCCTTTTCAAGAAAAGTGTGGAATCTGTTCTCCCAACCCCCATTAAAGGTAATGACGCTTTAAGAAAAGAAAACAAAATAAAAAGCAGGCGGGACAGCTTGGAGGGATAACTGGAGTGGGGCTCCGCGTCGTCTTATGCAAAACCCTATAAACCCCTCCTTACCCTATTAAGGGACCCACGCGCAGGGCCCCTTAAAGGATTCCAGGGATGCAGGACTCCGCCATCTAGCCCGCTTTCTCCGATCGGCTCCCTGAAGAATCAAGAGGCTGCTCAGCCAAAGGATTCCCGCTGGTCGTTTCCCAGCATGCCGCGCGCTCCCGCAAGTGCCAGATCCCCGGCATTTCCACGAGAGTTCAGGTTCTCTGTTGCAGCGCATCTCAACCTCAGCAACTTTAAGATGGGTGGACTTCAACTCCCACAATCCCATGCTGCCTAGGGGATTCTGGGAGTTGAGGTCCACACTGCTCTATGACAAGTAGTAGCCTAACTTCACATATGAGCCTTTCGTAAAAAGAGAGAGGTGTGTGTGTGTGTATAAAAGATATTTTCACTTAAACTCTCAGAATTCCCCAGCTATCACGCAGAATTCTGAGAATTGAAGTTCACATATGTTAAAGTTGCCAAATTGAAAAACACTGCCCTAGAAGGATCCCACAACACTCACTCCTTTCTGCAGCCACTTTGTGTTCTATTTTGTGTTCTAGTAGAGTTCTAAGCTCTTCTTTAGTCACTGTTTTTTTCCCCCAACCTCTGCTTTTAAAAATATCACCAAACAAAGCCATCTTTATTTACATATTTCGGGCAAACAAATCCTGCAGGTCATGGAAAATCCGAGTTTTCTGTCCTGCTAGAAACTCAGGCTGTCCTAGTGAAAGATTGAAAAACATCCCTTAGAAGAGAGGAGTATAAGATCGCAAAGATCTGTTAGTGGTTTCATTTGACATATATAGCCCAAAATCTATCTTTATATTTCATGTTTCTAAAACGCCCATCTCCAGCATAGAGAAGCTCTGCTGCAGAAGCAAAGAGGCTTCGCACATCCTATGCCTACTATGTTATTAAAAACAGGAATGTAATTTACACATCTCCATAAATCAGTTGTAGGAAGTTAGCACCCACTCCTCTCTAGTAAATATTAAAAAGGCAGAATATTATACCTCCCTGGGTGAGAAAAGGAGAAACATGCTCTTGGAAAGCAGCCCCCATCTTTGTTAATAGCCCCAGAAAGACTTGCAACTGAATCCAGATGGACATTTCTTCCAACACAGTGTTGGTGTGGGCTAATTGCTTAAAGTTAATCTACTTTGCCTCCTTGGAATAAAGATAGTATAATATCTAACATTACATATTTGAGATAAATAAAAGGTCCCCACGCCTTAAGGCTGTAAGAGGATATCGAACTGGGGTCGATAAACTGCAATTCGCCCCACGTGATGAAGTCACTGCCACAGAAAGTATTTAAGTTGGCTGCGTACTTTCGCTACCTTTGCTTCAAGCTTGGAGGAGCCTAATTGGAACCGGAAATGTTGGCTCTAAGACTGGGATTTTTCAATTTACCTCTTCGCCAGGCAGGGATTTTGCTGCGGTTTATAGAGACTGGACCGCGTTGCCCAGCAACCCGACTCCAACGGTTCCTGAAGGTCCCCTTTCTGAAAGCAAAGCGTCGCGAAAGAAGTTTGTGCATGACAGCTTTTGAGTTCTCCAGAAGTTTGGGTAGCATAGAAGACAAAACGAGTATTGAAGGAACAAGAATTTAGAACATTATTTAAAAATACTTATTCATTTGGGAACTTTTCTATTTCCCCCCTTTTAAATTGAACAAAAATCCTGGAAGACTTAGCTCCCTCTGTTATGTAGTTGAGTCTAATAAATATTATCACCCTTTAATGGATTTATATTCATGAATAGGACTTTCTCTTCCTAAAGATGCCCATTCAGATGTTGCTGAATTACAAGGCAGTGGTGGCTATCTTCTTGCAGGCTTCCCACCATCCACTGCCAGTAAAAGGGTAGATTGTCATTTTCACCACGGGGAAATTGCTTCTTTTTTCTTTTTGTCTTGTCTGAAATCCAAGATCACAGGAAATGCTTCGCTTGCCACCTGCTGCCATTACAGCTATGCAGAATTCCAGTTCTAAAGACAGGTATCACATCTTGATTGACTGAAGATGTCTTACAAAAGGACAGTGTTGGAAGCTCTATAGAGCAGGGCAGTGGTGAAATCCAATTTTTTTTACTACCGGATCTGTGGGCATGGCTTGGTGGGCGTGGTGTGGCTTGGTGGGCATGGCAGGGGAAGGATACTGCAAAATCCCCATTCCCTCCCAACTCCTGGGGGAAGGATATTGCAAAATCCCCATTCCCACCCCACTCTGGGACCAGCCAGAGGTGGTATTTGCCGGTTCTCCAAACTGCTCAAAATTTCCACTACCGGTTCTCCAGAACCTGTCAGAACCTGCTGGATTTCATCCCTGGAGCAGGGGCTTTCAAACTTTGATATATTTTTTTTAAATTAACAATGAAAAGATTAAGGAATATTTCCAAAGTACATACTTGTAGTTCTGTGGCAGAATATGATTCCTTTCAAAATCAAATGTAATCCACTTTTCCGCTTTGATTTCCAAACTTGTAATATTTTTACATTGTCCCACTTTAAGCTTCAGTTTCTTAGATCTCACCCATCTCAATATTGCCCTCACATCAATTTCAACTGCATTCCTGAAATCTTTATACTGATAAAACTTCAATATGTTTCTTCCAGGGATTTAAATGTTGGATATCATGGAGAACAGGATGAAATCCTGACGTATCTCAATTCACCATGGCAAAGATTGGGTCATGAAGCATATTCTGGCCTCATCTTTCTACATCACTTAGTGTGTGTGTCTTTCAGTCACTGTTTACTCCTGGTAACTCTGAATAAGTCCCTGCAAATTTCTTAGCAAGATTTCTGAAATGGTTTGCCCTTCCTAGAAGCCTCAGCTTCCTAGGGCTCAGGAAGAAGAACTGGCCCAAGGCCCAACCCCCAAGTGACTTTGTACCTAAAATGGGACTAGAACCCATAATCTTTTAGTTTCCAGCCTGAGGCCTTAACCACAAACCCAGACTAGCTCTCTGTTCATCACCTAGTCCCATCCCAAATTACGGACGAGAAAAGGTATCGCAATATTAAAATTTATATTGAGATTCAAGTAATAATAATAATAATAATAATAATTTTATTTCTATACCGCCCTTCTCCCGAAGGACTCAGGGCGGTGTACAGCCTATTTAAAAACACAGAAACAAAACAACAATTAAAATTTAAAATCATTAAATAATTAGGCTCCAATTAAAATCCCAGAAATTTAAAATACCCCAATTTAAAACGATTATGTTAATAGCCCGGCCTGGCAGAACAACAGGGTCTTCAGAGCGCAGCGAAACACCCGGAGGTCGGAGATCCTACGTATTTCCGGGGGCAGTTCATTCCACAGGGCTGGGGCTCCCAGAGAAGGCCCTCCCCCTGGGTGTCGCCAGCCGACATAACTTGGCCGATGGCACCCTGAGGAGACCCTCTCTGTGGGAGCGGACTGGTCGGTGGGAGGCTATTGGTGGCAGAAGTCGGTCTCGAAGGTACCCGGGTCGTATGCCGGTTCCTAAGTGAACCGACCAAATACATTTCCACCCTCCATCCCTTTCATACGACCTCTACCAAGGCAAATCAATTCAGAGTATAGTAACAGTAAATCGGTATATAGAAGGATAATAATAGAGCTAGAAGGTCAGTTATGTAATCCAGGCAAAGTCCTTGCCCAGTACAAGTATCCCAAATATAATATCTCTATCGATCCCTGTTTAGACGCATCCAGTTTCATTTTCCATTGGTTTCTCTATGGAACAATTGTTACTGTTATGAAGAATACTTGAGGTTCGGGACTGACTAACCTATTTAGTGAAACTATTGCTTCCATAATTTGAAAAGTATATTTCTTTTGAGGCATTTGTATTTGCCTTTTTAGTAGCCACAATGCACTGCTGATTTATATATAGTTTCTTATCAAATACTAAGATCAGTATTAGGGAAGACGAGTATCCCCATCTCTTATCTGTTTCCTAAGTGAAGATTTTTGCATTTGTTTCTGTTAAAATTCATTCTAGTATTTTCAGACCATTTACCTTATGTACTGATATTATTTTTAATTTAGGATTTAGCTCTCCTACCTAATGGTATGTCAGATCTGATGGGTCTTTCCTATACCACTCCACATCTAAAAATTTCTGAAAAAGACCAATAATTTTTTTGCTGTACAGAGCTAAGAGTTCCTTCTTACATTCCACAAGTACTTCTGGCATCTGAGGAGGTTGTTGCATGGTGAAGACAATACTATTTGCTTTTGAAAGGCAAATCAAAGGCACATTACACTCAGTCTAAGATTCAGCCTGCCTAATTTGCTATACATAATAGGGTACTTTTACCCCTCTTGTTGGTATCATTATTATTGTTGTTGTTGTTATTGTTGTTGTTTTAGATGTACCATGAGAGCTTCTGCTCTGGAGACAAATTCCTTGTGTGTCTAATCACACTTGGCCAATAAAGTATTTTATTCTATTCTACTTGTGGGGAAAAAATGTTGATGTCAAGATGAAAGACTATATTTTACTTGTCAGACTAATTCGTATAGCTAGGGAAGCGATATATTCAAAACATGAAATATAATCCGACAAATCTTCTCCATGACAAATTCATGCTAGATTTCTAATCGTTAGCAAATCATTGCCTAGCATTTTACAGGTTTAAAATTTGCTTCAGAATTTTCCCAGTTATTGATGACAAACTGACTGTCTCATAGTGTAAAATTTTCTGGGGAGGAGGGTATAGGAATGTTTGCCATCCTCCACTCAGTGGATGTTCCCTCTTCTCCAGATTTTTCAAGGATAAAAATATCTGAGGAGTCATCTTGCCCCTAATGGGATTGGTCCATCCCACTAGCTCCAGCAGAAGAGGCCAGTTTAAGATTTTGTCTGTCAAAGAATTTCAGCTGGTCGTCCAGAAGAAAAGCCTTTCCTGCTGGCTCCCACCTTATTCTCATGCTGGAGGTGAGGTTCACCCCATACTCTTGGCCTTCCAGAAGAGCTTTAAAACCTGGCTTTGCCTGTTGGCCTGGGGTCCCAATGGGGGTGCTCTGTGCTGGGAGTGGCTGACAGGATAGAGAGAAGATCCTTACCCCTATGTTGGCTGCCCTCTTGGTTTTTAGTCTCTATTTAATTTTTCTTAATTTTAATTATTTAATATTTTTCTCATTTTGTAAGCTGCCTTAGAGTTGTTCAATAGTAATATGAGAGGCATATAAATTTAATGAATAAATAAATGTAATAAACAAACAAACAAACAAAGATTTGGCTAGCTTCCTTCAGGAGCTTTGATGGAATCTATCTGGCCCTGAAAATCTGAATTCAGTCAAGGTCAATAGATATTCCCTATGTTTCTGTCAAGCTCATGTTGAAATTATTTTTAATTGCTTTCTGTATATTTCTCTAGTAAACTCTTTTTCTCAGTCTGACCCAAGTTAGGAATTGAATACTGTAAATGTTTTTCCCCCTTCTCTTCTGCGTTCTTCACTGAACAATTAATAGATTGTTTATTTTGTTTTAAATATCGCTTCCTATGCACACTATTTCCTATGATGAAACTCAAATACTTTGGCCACCTAATGAGAAGGAAGGACTCACTGGAGAAGAGCCTAATGCTGGGAACAATTGAGGGCAAAAGAAGAATGGGACGACAGAGAATGAGGTGGCTGGATGGAGTCACTAAAACAGTAGGCATGAGCTTAAACGGACTCCAGAGGATGGTACAGGACAGGAAGGCCCGGAGGAACGTCCATGGGGTTGCGATGGGTCGGACACGACTTCGCAACTAACAACAATGCACACCTTGAACCATTCTGAACTTTTATTTTCTTGACACCATCTCTGTCTCTGTGATCTGGCGAACTATTAACTCTCATAGTCATTCCTTTGGTTTTTTAGATTTTCTCCTCACTTTTCTGTGCAGATACATTAAATTCATCTCTCTTCCATTTTTCATCCCTGGATGCATTTGTTTGAATTTATTTACCAACAGATGGCAGAGTATTTCAGTTCGCCCATCTCTACTATTTTGTATCTCTTAAAAATATCTGAACATTTTATTTGGAATACATTGTCTCTCTATATATATTTTATTTGGGTGCTCAATAGTGGACAATGGGACCCTACTTTTATTCTGTTTAATTTTAACTTGGATGTTTTCAACGGCACCATTGTATTCATTCACTTGTTATACACACTGTACAGCACAACTTGACTCCCTTTCAATTATTTCTCTTGTGACTGAATGAAAAGAAGACAAATACTTTTTTTTTAAGTAAAATGTTAGATTTGGCAAAATGCAGTTGGCAGTGTCTCATGAGTAGCATACAGATATTTACTGAAAGCTAAAACTCTTTTCTAAGCACATCTACCTTGTGGTACTGCTTCATAAAGCCCTAGAAAGAGAAAGCTGTATTAGTGAGGGACTGATTTGAACAAGATCAGCATCTGCTTTTCTGAAAAGAGTAAGTATAAAGAAGATTCCACCACTGAATGTGTAGTTTGCACTTCCTGCCCTCAAAGCCAATCCTCATCCTGAATGTAGAGGAGGGAAACGCAATACAGGATTGTCCTTGTCTCACAACCACAATTGAGCCCAAAATTTTTGTTGCTAAGCGAGACCTTTGTTAGGTGAGTTTTGCTCCCATTTTTATGACTTGTCTTGCCACAATTGTTAAATGAGTCGTTGCAGCTGTAAAGTTTGTAACATGGTCGTAAAGTGAATCTGGTTTCCCCATTGATTTTGCTTGTCAGAAGGTCGCAAAAGGTGGTCACGTGACCCCTACACACACACACACACACACACACAGAGCAGCTGTCATAAATATAGGTCAGTTGCCAAATTTCTGGATTTTGATCATGTGACCATGGAGATGCTGCAACAGTCATAAGTGTGAAAAATGGCCATAAGTCACTTTTTCCAGTGTCGCCGTAGCTTCCAACAGTCACTAAATGAACTATTGTAATTGTATTTAGAGATGAAATATTCATCTTTCCTATTCTTAATGAAAACGCAGTCTGAATATGCCCAAGAGAATAATGTTCCTTTAATAATGTTATTATTATTTAATAATAATAATAATAATAATAATAATAATAATAATATTTTAAAAAAATAATAAAAGCCCTATCGGTGGAAAAAATGTAGCTTCCATTCCAGGCAAGCCAGTTTACCCCTATTGGCTTTTTGAAATCCCAATGCTAGTCCGCTACTGGTTGCTACACTAGCAAAGTTCTACTTTCAATACAGTATAACAGCGATGGTTAACTTTTTTGGTACTGAGTGTCCAAAGCACGCATGAATGCATGTGCGCATGCCCAAACCCCCAAAATGCAATGTGAGTGCTCCCCATGCATGCGCCTTGCACACGCATTCTCTGTGCATGCATGCACATTTCCCTGCATGCACCCCCCCCCCCCCCCGCCCCATTTTGGCTTCCAGGTTGCTGCAGGAGGCTTTCCAGGCCCTCCCGCACCCCATTTTGGGCTTTTCCAACCTGGAAGCCAAAACAGGGCACAGGGGTGCTGCACGAGACCACTCCCATGCCCCATTTTGGGCCTGGAAAGCCTGCACCAACCTGCCCCTCCCGCACATGTGCCCCCCCCCACATGCACCTACGTGCGCGTCCCCCTCATGCACCCCACCCCACATGCCTGCATGGCAGAGACCCGAAGACCAGCTGGCCGGTGGGAGGTGCACACACGTGCGGTGGAGCTGGGCTGGGGTGATGACTGGTGTGCCCGCAGAGAGGGCTCTGTGTGCCACCTGTGGCACGCGTGTCATAGGTTCGCCATCACGGCAGTATAAGATAGTTATCATAAAACCCCCACCAAGCAACTGAACAGTTAAGAGTCTATTCATATCTGGCCTCATTAATAAATCGTGTATTACACCAACATGCACACTTTGTCATTATTCTCACCATCTTCAGTGATACTGGGTCAATAGCAAACCTACATTTGTCTAGGAGGACATTTTATCACATTTCACTCCTCACACCCTCATTTTCAGTTGACACCAGAGCTTACATTGACAATTACAATTTCTACTGCATATTAGTGAAGATGGTGTTTAACTGTGGAGAAATTTATCATCCATGCAGAATGAGGTTGAGGAAGAGAAGGGTGGAAAGGATAAACTGTAATTCAGTCTGTCAACTTCATCTCAGTTACCATCTGTGACTAATGATGGAATGGTCCTGGAAAAAAAGAAAACAATGGCATTCACTAGGATCCATCACTCTCCATTAATCTCTGCACTCTCAATCATAGATATGGTAATTGTCTTTTCGATCTGCAAATTGGGATGGGTGGCTAAGATTGAAAAGGAAAAAAGAGGAAAATATGCTGGTACTGGCCACATAGTCCCAGGATGGGGAAATTAAGATGGCACTGAAATATCGGAAATTTCAGCTATAGATTAATATCTACCACAGTATAACCACACCTTATTCCTGTGCAATTTTCATACAAAACATACTCTTTTGCAAATCAAAGAATATGCTTTAAAATAAAACATACCTCCCCTTGTTTTATAAGAACAGCAATAAAATATGTGTCACCGATCCTAGGGCAGCAAAATAGGCATGACCTTTCCTTCCTTCCTCCCTTTCTTTCTTTCTTTTCCTTTCCTTTCATCAAAGAATTACAGAAATCTCTAGATGCATCCTCTGTGGCTCCAAATTTTTTTTAACACTTTATCCCAAAGTGAGAAGCAGTGAAGGCAAAGAGAGACCATCAAAGCTGGCTCATATCCCAGCAAGAGTGGTGTCAGAAACAAAATCCGGAGGAGGCAGCATTGTGTGGGATGTAGCAGGAGGGCTCTTCGAACAGAAAGCATAAAGGAGAAAAGCACAAAAGAGGCCGTCTGGAGTTCTCCTACACACACACGTGTATACATATATCAGTCAAAGCAAAGCTGAAGAACAGGCAGACTCAAAATCTTGCACAGATACTGAGACATCTGCTGGGTTACAGAAGGAGGGCTGGCAGCCAGAACTTTTGGTTCTGGCACCAAATCTGGCTGAGAGAGCAGTGAGTTGCTAGATTGTAAGGTTATGATCAGGGCAGATCAAAGCTGCCAGAATAGTGACTTTGATTCCAGAACTCTGAGCGCTCGGAACATTTTTCTCCATCTTTTCCAAAAGAAGAGAATTAATACGAACAAAGAAGAGGATGCTTCCAGGGTCCATAGACCCTGCTGCCATGGCTGGGACAGAGAGGTGAGAACACTTCAGCATCAAGGACAGAATCACAGGTAAGAAATGAGAATGGGGCCTGGGTGACTATTAAAAGTTTATTCAGGTAATGTTGTAGTATGGTAGGTAATGATTTATGGGAGAAGTGGCAATCAAATAATAAACTACATCAGTATTTTATGGGATGAACTAGTCATTTTAAAAATGTCTCAAATTTCCAAACAAAATTAAAATTCCATTTATCATTGCTCCTGACATAAACAGTAAAAGAATCCCACTTGAACTAAGTCTGTAGTTTCTATCGCTCGTCCATTACAGAAGAAATTGTTTATTCTGTATTTCTGTTCCCTTCTGCATTTGAACCCATCTAACATGGGGTGGGGTGGGGGTGGTATTCATAGAAAGCGCTATGGCAGAGTATTTTGCTGGATTGAAAAATTCAGAATCTTGGATATTCTCAATGCAGTGGGACAAAACTCCCAAGTTAGGAGTTAGTTCCTAGCAGCAGGAGAAACATATTTTGAACTCTTTGGTATAAAATGTGTCACTGGCACATTTCAATCCCCACAGGAGTAACAAATCTAGGACTTTGATTTCATTTGCACAAAATGTTCAATGAGCCCTTCCTTGAAAAGTTCTTATACAAAGTATTGCACAATTTATTGCATTTCTATTTGACTAGATGTTATGAGTGCATAAGCATGACTTCAAGTGCTTCAAGTAACACTTGAAGTCACTAATTAATCAATACCTTTTCTATTTTGGCATTCTAAATAATACAACCCATTGTTTATATAGTATCTTTTTAGTCTTTTACTGTATAGCACATAGACTATAGAATCTTATAGAAATTTATGAGAGCTAGATTATGTGAGCTGCAATTCTTGTGTTAAACATTCTTGTCTCTGGAAACAAGTATTTTCTCAATAATAATAATAATAATAATAATAATAATAATAATAATGATGATGATGATGATGATGATGATGCCGGTTTGAGAATTTGCTAATTAAGATACTGATTTAAAATACACTGTGAGAGAGGCTGTCCCATCTCCCTTCTCAGTTTTTTCCTCGGAAAAAAGCATAGTGACCTCCGAGTTCAATTCTTGCTCCAAGGGTAAAAGAAAGCACCACTGCAATAAAAGCACCATAGACATTATTCTTATTTACAGGGACTGTTATTTAGCCACCATTTAGTAGAAAATTTTACATATTTATCTTAATCCCATTTTACACAAAGGTTTTTATGGGTTAGATTTAATACTGTATCATCTGTGGTTCTAGGAACCAAGTATAACATCATTCTTTCCTACTATGGAGGAATCAACTGACTTAATGGTTATATTACACCGAATACCAGTCTTGGCACCTTAATTTAACAATGCTTTTCATAGTTAAACCATTTGGCTTGATCAAATGAGAAGTCATGCTTTCTGTAAGCAGCCTTCGCTTGTGAAATAATCAGGAAACACTTGGGCTGGATCTAATAAAGATGGAATTATCAGACTGGAATTTATATCCCTATCTTAGATACTATTATATGCATTGCTGGATTTTTCCAGGATTCAAATTTCATTAGGTGATCTCTGCTTCTAGTATTTTAGGAAGGGGGAAATTGTTTCTCCTTTTTCACTTTATTCACACCATGTATAGTTTTCTGCACCTCTGTCATGTCCCGTCATTTGCTTTCTTTCTAGATTAAAAATCCCCCAAACATTCTGGCCTTTCTTCATAAAGGCTCCTGTCCGTTGATCATCCTAGTTGCCCTCCTCTGAACCTTCTCCAGCTCCACTGTATCCTTTTTGAGGTGTGGCAATCAGAAACGCACACAATATTCCAGATATTGTCACACAATTTATATACTGTAAGGACATTATAATCTATCTTATTATTCATAACATGCTATTGCCCTTTTTTTTACAGCAGAGGCACAGTGTTGAAACATTAAATTGAGTGTTTACCATTGACTCAAGTTCTCTTGCATTATCAATGCTAACCATGATCTATGTATACAAATGTTGTTGTGTTCTGGATGGGGTTGAACTGTTTTCTTCAACATCTCTTATTCCTTCTCAAGGTGCTTTCTCAGCATCACTTACTTGTGCTCTTCTGGAAGGCCAAGAGTGTGTGGGGTGAACCTCACCTCCAGCAGGATAATAGGGCGGGAGCCAACAGAAAAGATGCTTCCTTGTTGCTTCTTCAAGAAATAGCTCAGGTCATCTAGCTGGGAAAATGGCTTCTCTACATTATGAGTAACCACGTGCTTAGATCAGACTTCTAAGTTTGCAGGTCAATTTATGGAAACTAATTTGAAGTAACATTAATGCACAGGACAATTTCCTTCCACCATAGGATGCCTGCTGAAAAACTGGGAATTAATCATGTAGACCAGCAGAGAATTCTAGACAAACTGGAGATCCACCTCTCTTAATAATTCCAAGTTATTCTGATTCTATACTACCAGATATCACTTTTCCAATAGAAAATCCCCAAAGCACAAGATCTATAGATATGCTGAAGAAAGAAAACTTCCGCAATCATGCCACAGAATGAATGAATACATTAACATTGCCCCATAGAACATCACAAAATGACCCAAACTCTTCACCATCAAATCATACAGGTAGTCCTTGACTTACAACAGTCCGCTTAGTGACTGTTCAAAGTTATGACACTGGAAAAAATGATTTATGACCGTTTTTCACACTTCTGACCCTAATAGCATTCCCCATGGTCACGTGATGTTTCACAACTGATTCACATTTATGACAATTACAGTGTTCCAGGGTCATGTGTTCACCTTTTGCAACTTTCTGACAAGCAAAGTCAATGAGGAAACCAGATTCACTTAATAACCATGTTACTAATTTAATAACTGCAGTGATTCACTTAACAAATGTGGCAAGAAAAGTCATAAAATGGGGCAATACTCACTTAACAAATGTCTCACTTAGCAACATAAATGTTGGGCTCAGATGTGGTTGTAAGTCAAAGACTACCTGTACTTTGTATTTGTAAAAATCAACACATGAACGTATGTATCTCTGTTTCTCTTGTTGAAAATAAACATTACTCGACTGTTGTTCCAGTTTGGTTGTTTTAGTTTTCTGAGTTGATTCTGCCCTCTTTCATCTAGGCTCAACAAACAACAAACTCCTTTGAAACAAGTGTTGCTACTTATTGAACCTGCTCAAGTGCCGATTCAGAAATAAGGTGCCCATTCAGGTCAGTAAGGTTGGTCCAAGGTAATAAATACCTTCCTGAACTCCCAGCACAGAAAACAGAGTAAGATAAGTCTTCAAGCTACTGTATTTTTTAGAGTATAAGGCGTACCTTTCCCCCCTAAAAAAGAGGGTGAAAATCTGGGTGCGTCTTATGCTCCGAATGTAGCCCCGCCCAGCTTCTCAAACAGAGGTTTCAGAGGCTGAAAAAAGCATCAGAAACGAAACTTCAGAAAAGAAACCCCCAAACAGAGCTTCAGAGGTTTTTTCTGAAGCTCTGTTTCGGAGGCTTTCAGAGGCAGGAAAAAAAGTTTTTTCTGCAAGGAGTTTCAGAAGTTTCAGAGGCAGGAAAAAAAAGCAAAAAAAAAAAAAAAAGCAAGGCACAGAGCTCACAACCAAGGAACCTGTTGCTAAAATTCACCTCTGGGAACAGCTGATTGGGGGTATTCCAGGAGTCTGATCCACCTGCCAATCAGCTTTTTTCTTATTTTCCTCTCCAAAAACTAAGGTGCCTCTTATACTCTGGTGCGTCTTATACTCTGAAAAATACGGTATTCCTGATCAGTCCTGGGCTGCAAAGTGTATGTTAGCATACCTGCCAAAAGTGTGAAAGTCAAGCAATGTAAAATGTATTTTGTTTGGAACAAACGAGAATATGCCAAATAAACAATAACAGAAGATTGATATTAGTCCTAACAAATACAGAATTCTGGAAAAGTGAATCCTAGCTTTTTTCACTTTGCATTTTAAAGTAGTGTAGGAAATCAAATATACACAATCCCATCTAATTAGCGCATACTGTTTTGTAGATGCGTGGTATACTTTCACAATTAACAATATTTTTAATAGGCATGTATGCACTTTCGATAATGTACTGGTGACACTTGCCCAATACTTTTGTGGTTTTTTCCTTTCTATTTTTTTTTTTTTAAGACACAACTATGTAAGAATTCACATTGAGAAAAGGCCTTCCAAAGATCTGGGGCGTCTTTCCTGAAGAGAAGTACATAGGTATCATAAAATTATCTCGATGGTTTTTTGTTTTTTTAATCCCTTTCTTTTCCTGTCAGCTTGAGCCTATGTGATCTTGCACTTCATAAGTCAAGATCGTGAAATGAGACTCAGCAGCCAAGTTCTCTGAAAAGCCAATTCACAACTTCAAAACAAATTATAACAGTACATCAGGAATTACACCCCTTCTAAGCATAGGTGGAAGAAACTGTCTTCAAGCCGTTCCATTTTAATACATCCCCCTCTATTGGAATAGTCCCAGATGGCTATGATGCAACTGTTTTCCTCACCATGGAAACTTTGCCAAAGCTTAGATTAAGTAAGAACCAGGTAAAATAGGATTCCATTTTCCTTTCCCTTGCTCGCTATGCAATCTTATCCTTCTTTTGCAGCTCTAACATGATGTGCCACCTCTTTCCAGCATTCCTAATGGTTTCCATCATTGTCATGTGGCCAGGCACCTTTGCTCAAGAGTTTCCCATTCAGAGTCAACATCATCATGATCAATATTGGTACCAGACAACAGTAGATCAAATCCCAGTGATCAGTGAGTTCCTTCTGTTCTGGGGAAGGGGAGGGTTGAGTATCAAGTAAAAGGTATTAACTCCAGCCTTCATTTTGGAAACTTAGGGTCTATTGTCTTTTCCCAAGTTATCCGATTGGATAATAGTTTGTGCATTTTCTGTTAACATCACTGTTTGAGCACCCCCCCAATTGCACAAATAGAATTTATGCACAAATAGAATTACTGTATACTTCAGTTCTTAAACTGTGGAGGTGAGAGTCTTCCAAATAGGCATAGTAATCTCTAAGCATCACAGGACACAGCAACTCCACCCAAATGACAGCAAATTTGACAATGCAAATAATTTCAAGTAACTATCATCCAGATGCATTCCAATTTGCTTGCAGTTTTGTCACACAAGAGGTAAAGTACGTATGCATGTGTAGTTGACACCAGATTAGAACCTTCACTCTTCTGTGCTAGAAAAAAAAAGGTGCAGAAGACAAAAATCCTCAGTGCTGCTTCTTCCTCCCATCTTCCCTCTCAACTGTTCTCCACCACAGATGGGGGCACCTGCAAAGTGATTGCTGTCAAACGCTGTTGCAACCGGAACCATATTGAAGAACGGTCCCAAACTATCCAATGCTCCTGTCTCCAGGGCAAAGTGGCTGGCACAACCCGTGGCAAACCTTCTTGTGTGGATAGTAAGTACTAGGAGCCAAGATCTTTCTTTCTCCTAACCTCAAGTGACAGGAAAAGCCAAGGGGATATAAGGACCAAGAATCTAAGCAATAAGAATCCTGGGAAGAGATTAAAACATGGATCCAAAATAAAGAGGAAAACCCCCCAGCAAATGTGCATAAACAGATATTGGTGAGGAGGAGGATGGCTTAGCATGTAAACTGAAGAAAAGATGATTGAAGGGCTTGATAGTTGGAGCCTCTTTTGTTAGAGGACTGTATGTGTGTTCTATATAATGGCTCTCTCAGACCAGATGTAAGTAGTGGTTATGGTGGTCTTAAAAGACCTCAAATAGTATTTATTATGCCAAGACTTCCATGATAAAGCAGGATACTTGATTCAAGGACAGAGACAAGTTAGTTAGCTAGCATGGAATTCAGGAAGTCCCATTTATATAACCTCTTGATGCCAAGAGGCCCAAATAGACTAGAGGCATTCCATCTTGACGACAAATCTATTGAATTGCCATATCCGCAGAGAACAAGTTACCAATGTCAGTAAACTTCATGGCCTTAAGGAGGGATGGTAAAAAGTGTCTCCCTCTATTCTATAGCCTCCATTGTGACAGGAAAGTGGTGGTGCGATATGCAGCCCTGCCAGGCTGAAGAGGAGTGCAAAGCATTACCTGACAACACAGGTTGGATGTGCTCATTAGGAAACCGTGTTAAAACCACCAAGGTAAGGTTTCTCACAACCCTGACAAAAGTCATGTCTGCACAGGATGCCACTTCTTTTCCCGTATCTCAAATGTGTATCTAGTCTTAAGGATTGTCAAGGTTTTGTTCCTTTCTTTTTAAGCCCATTGCACAAATAGTGGAGGAGATTTAATTTCCATGTAACAATTTATCCTGGCTTGTTTTTCAGATCCATCCCAGGAAATGAAGTCTGTTGTAATGGAAAACCCATCTCTGAAGAAGGCATGACCGATTTCAAATACAGTAATTATCATCAACTTCATGATGAATGCTAGTGGGCATGCAAACCTTTTGTCCAGTGGGGAGGACAAACCATCATATTGCTGGATGCACTGTGACTTTGCAGAAGACAGTGCTGCTCTTTGTTAAGGGAAATGGAATCAAAGACCTTTTATTAACAGAAGGAAGATTTAGCCCTATTCTTTTGGGGAAACAGTAGAGCAAGTTGGTTCAAATGATTCTAAACTTTCTTGTGAAAGACTGCTGAGATATTTCCTATATACCGTAATTATCATTTTTGTCAAACAGATAATTAAATTCTCCAAAACAAATGCAAAAAAGCCAGTTTTGTATTTACATCTGTAATATAATACAGTGTCTTTCTTTACAATGATATTGAAATACAAATTGCCCCACCATTAGGCGATCTTCAAACTGGAGAAAATGGACTACTAGATCTGTAAAATTTTAATGCCATCTTAATAGGCCGTTTGAATTCTGAATGAGGTCCTTAGCCCCCAAAGGCCAAGTATATAAAACTGGAACTAAAATTATATTGCCGAATTAGAGGTGGTTTGGCTTAGATGGGCAGTGGAGGGAGAGGTAATGTCAATTTAGATCCCAAAAGAGCTTTGGATTGTTTGGTATTTTATAACTATAGCACTGTTTCAATATCCTGGATGGCTTTTTAGGCAACTAAGAGACTGAAGTACCCCCTCTGTTCTGCCAATCTGTCCTAGTTAGTTCTTCTAAAGAGGGAACTGACCCAGCATTTTACTGGAATAAAACGTAGTTCTAAGGGAGGCCTACCCAGCCTTTTAAGGTGAGTCAAGGCCACAAACCCTGTTTGATCCACCATCATTCCCTCTTTGTTTGTTTTTTTAAACCTAAGCAACCAGCAACAACAGTACTATTAAGTGAAGGAAAAGAGTGAGGATTCAGGGTAGCAGCATCTCTTATTCTGGCTCAATAGCATACAGGCATCTGACCTACAATGAAGAGACGTATCACAGGGTATCATCATTGGTAGAGTGGCAGTACTTCCCCTTGTTACAATAACTCTTTCATCCAAGGCTTGGGAAAACACATTCATTGTTTACAGACTTTTAAAAGATAACTTAAGAGGAGTTCCCACCAAACAGAAAAAATTGGACGAGTCCTTCCATCAGAAAGTCAGGAAAACGGCCCTTTAAAATTTGCCATGGTCGATTAATTGTAATTGCACACCCCAGTTTTTCAGGCAAATATCATCCTAGGATTCCAAGTTCTCCTAATAAGCTTTGGTTCCGTCATTGTATGGAATTAATCCTGGGGCACCTCATTTCATCACTGCAAGCTTCTTAACTCCTCATAGAGGTAGATATTATACAGCTCAAACCCCCAACCATGTTTTCCTTGCCCCTCCCCTCTGCTAAAATTAAAAGATAACTCTAAGAACCAAATCCCTTCCATGCTTTGTTTGCACTCTTGGGTGAATGTCTTAGTTTCAAGGGGAAAAAACTTGCTCGATTCTAAAAATAGAAGTGATTCAGGCCCCACATTGGCTCACTGATATTGTCCATAGCCTGCATATCCTGTAGGTGGTGAACCATCTTTGGGAGGCAGTTGACTGGGATCTTCTCCAAAGGGATTGGCTAAGAAGAAAAGAAGGACCCATTAGTGATACATGAAAACACATTAATGATAGGAAGCAGCAGAGGAAAACTTTCTGAAGCAGAAGTAACAATGGTAAAGCTAAGAAGAAAAAAGGTGGGGGTTTAAGGGAGAAGTGATTCATTAAATTAAGTGAAAAATCTCAACTTTTACTATTAGAAAATTCAAAAGAGGTTGAAATGTCAATCAGTAAATAAAGAAGAGGAAGGTGCCAGACAGCATGGGAAGAAGTGTAACCCTGGAACACACTTATAGAACCATTAGCAAAATGCCATTGTCATAACAAATTGTGTTAAAATACAGGAGATGGGAGGAGACAGGCATGTAGCATGCTTCCTCCCTATAAAGGCACCAAGATCTGCGATAAGAATAGGGAGAGACATGACAATCAGGAAGAGATGTTTCTTGCACTTTGGGTAACTGCAAAGAAACATCACTTTGGTGTGTGTGTGTGTGTGTGTGTGTGTGTGTGTGTGTGTGTGTGTGTAATTAGAAAAGCCAAAATCTCTTTCACCACAAAGTGGAACTGACTTCACACCACTTCCCCCAGCTCTAGTGCCAATCGGTTCATAAGATTCTCACTAACTTTTATCATTACAAGGTGATAGACAAAGGCAGGTGTGTTAACATCTGGCTCTTTGGATTTTGAACGAAATCTTTCACTGTTGATATTGCTGGCTGAGGCTGCTGGGAATTTATTTTTCAAATTTATATAGCTGCCCATTTCACTAATCAAGTGACTCTAGGAGGCATGCAACGAAGTGTTTGGAGGGCTGCAAATCATCTACCCATAAGTAGTAGTATGAAAAAGTATTCCAACTATATTTCCCAGGATTTAATGGCGACTTCTAGCCCTCCATATATTATTACATTTCAATTCCAGCATTCCTGGAATCAAGGCCAACAACGAGAAGGACTTTTTTTTGCAACTATATTTGGAGGTCCACAGCTTCCCCCAAATCCCCCCTCCTTCTGGGACCCTTTTATTCTCAGAATTTTAACTTACGGTTTTGAAACTGCTGGGCTGTATATCTTGTCAACAAAATGCCAACACCTTCTATCAAGGCAAGCAAGATGCCTCCCATCATAGCAGAGCCTACCATGGCCAACGGCCCACCTAAATGAAAAAGCAGTTAGTAAGCCCCAAGAAAGCAATTATTAGAAAGGATGATAAATGGGTGATGTGTATTTGAAGAGCCAAGAAACATCACTTACTGCGTGATGCTAATACAGCCCCAGTGAGTGCCCCGCTGGTAATGGAATTCCAAGGATCTTCTTTGCCTCGCATTTTCACCAGACCACAATCAATCGTAGAAAAAAGCCCACCCCACACTGCAAAGCTCCCTGGGAAGAGAAAGAGAAAAAGCCTTTGGAGTCACCAGCTGAGGGTTGAATTGTTTGTAACTTGCATCGAAAAAGCCCATTGCCTGATAACTTTATTATAAATACTTGTTGGGTGCACATGAAAATTGGATCAAAACACCCCAGAATCTTAGAAGTTATTGCCAAAGATACTCAGAGTTTCTCAAAAAGGGGCAGCAATTCAGATTCTACCTCCCGAGCAACTGATTTCCAAATTTATCACCTGAACCTTGAAAGACAGAAACAACTTTCCTTTTTTTAAAGTATTTGCAATCTCAAATGTTGTGTCAATTTCTTGAAAATAGAACCGTATGAATAAACAACAAGTAGGAAAGCGTAAGAAAATGTAAATGACTTAATTGATTTTTTATTGCTTACACTGGTATTTTTAAACACATGATCTCATTCTACAAACTGTTACACAGGTATAGGATTCATAATAGCTCACTATAAGTAAGCTATTTAGGACCTCTTTCCAGAGCACGATACCATAGTCTTTTGAGACTGAAGGATGCCAATGATGACTATAAGTAAATAGATCTCATAGCAGTTTACTGCAAGTAATGGTCTCATAGATGCAAGTAATCAAGTCATGTGATTGCAATTTGGGTGCTTGGCAGCCAGTTCACATTTATGACTGATTACAGCATCCTGCAGTCACATGATCATGACATGCAACCTTTTTTTTTTTTACTGATTTCCAGCAAAAAATGGCACAAAGCACCCATTGGAGAATCTGGATTTGTTTAACAACCATGTGATTCACTTAACCACCACAGTAATTCACGAATAACCACCATAAACATTGTTGCAAAATAGGATCTGACTTGACTTACAACCACAATTTATGACAGAAATCCCAGTCCTAATTTGGCAATTAGTGGAGGACTACCTATAATATGAACTTAGAAATTAGTATTACGGGTATTCCTTAAGGTAAAATGGAAATTGGGACCAAGATTGCTACTGCTAAATGATGTGGCTGTAAAACATGATGTCTTGTGACCACATCACTTAACAGCAATCCAGGCCAATCCCAGTTGTCATCATAACCCCAAGACACATGGGTCATTAAGTCAGAAGTTAAGGGAGTCCCAGGTAAGGAACGCGGACTGGCACAGTGGAGTGGGGTGCCCTAGGAGGCTTGGCACAGACTATAGGTGAATGGTATGTGTTCCAGTGCAGCACAAGTTTATAAAGGCTAAGGAAAGAGCATGCAACGTATGTGCATGTGTGTGAGCACACAGAGGCCGGGGAAGGAGAGTATTAGTGAGTGCAAGTGGACGGAAGGCATGGTGGTTTGGGGGGGGGGGGTGAGACTTACTTGTGACCTTCCCTGTCAGGTTCCCCATTGACTTTGTTTATAGGAAGCTGGCAGAGAAGGTCAACAAGTGATCACGTGCTGCAACCCGTCATAAAATGTGAGGTCATTGCCAAGCATGTGAATTTTGTTGCAATAACTGGAACTTCAAGGACCTCAAGTATATTCTTTGTCCAGTGTCATTGTAATGTCAAACAATTGCTGGATGAATTAATCCTAGCTTGAGGTCTACCTTTACTTACTTTACTCAAATATTTATAGGGCTGCAATGTTCAAGAAGGGAAAAACTAACTTTCCTCAATTTGATGCCTACCAGATATGCTGGACTTCCATGTCCAATATATTAAGCTAGTATGGCTATGCTAGAAATTCTACAAATTGGTCTGAAGGCCACCAAGCTGGAGATGATTTCAGCAAGTAAACGTTTCTCAATTAAGTCCCACTTTCCATTGCTTGGAGTGTTTATTTTTAAAATACATACCAGGATTGGGAAAGAACTCCAACCAGGCACTCCACTTTCCACTAATAATGTAAGTTATATAGGAGGTCTTTCTTATATAGAAGGTCTTTATGTTGCAGAATATACACTTGCAGAAATGGATAAGCCATTTCTCTCAAATTCTTAGATCATCGGAACATTCTGGAAATAGACTACACAATTTTGTATATCCCTGCCCCAAATTTAAGTTCTCTATTTTTCGCAGACACTTAAATCCTTATAACAAAAAAAATGACATACTATAGGATAGGTCAAGCTGAAACAGACTGATCCAGTGTCACTCCTCTGCTTCAACAGTGTCAGAATTTGATTCTGGTTCTCCCTGATCTTTTGCAAGCCCGGCATTGGGGGGCGGGTAGGGCGGGGAAGAGCGGGGGCATGCGAGTGGCAAGCACTTGCATTCATGCATGAAGCTCCATTTGCGTGAATGGAACTTCACCTGCAAGAGCAAGCACCCTCCGCTCTCATGAGTGGAGCTTTGCGCACGCACTTGCCCATCTCTACAGTGGCCTGGTTTTGAACAGGCTGTGACCTGATATTGGGCCGCAGTCTGGGGGTTAGGGACCCCTGTCTTATGACATTCATTCCCCCTATGAAGCCCTCTATCTTACCTCCAATCTGTGGTGCTCTGACTCTGATAGCATTGATGCTGCCTCTGAATCGGTGCCTGACACCCTGAATTTTTTTTAAAAAAGAAGCAGAAACCCTTTTGGTTAATCAACTCCACACTTAAAGAGGACTCATAATTCAAGCAATGCACACAGAACTCACATTTTAGGATTCAGTGGTTTGCAAAGAAAAATGTATATGTGAACCTCTTTCATTACAGTCAGCCTTTTTAGGCTAGAATCTTTCAGAGGTATTGAATACAAATGCTATCATCCCTAAAAGGTCAGGCAGATGAGAATTGTAACCCAACCCCTAGAGCAGGGGTGTCAAACTCACAGTGTCACGTCGTCATATGATGTATCACGATTTTTTCTCCTTCACTAAACCGGGGTGGGTGGGTGGGCGTGGCCAATGTGTGACACATCTGGCCCGTGGGTCGTGAGTTTGACACCCCTACCTTAGAGGGTATCAAGCTGAGGAAAATGAAAAGCATTTTTGAAACAGGCTTATCAATAATCAAACAATAACAACTGAAATTAAGAATGAAAGGGACGTTGTCTTACCTGAACGTCCGTTTTGTCCTCGATACTCCGCCACTCCACTATATGGGTTTCTTTCACCGTCATTAGATCGACTGGGTGCCAATCAAATCTTCCTCCACAGCTTTGTCCCGCCTACTCCAACTGCGCATGTCCAGTCTTTTCACGAAGTCTCTCCAGAACTATCAGCAGACTGTAACCCTTAGAAACTGCAGGACCTGAAGCATCTACCTCAATATAAGTTTCCTCCACTTTCATCATGGAACTTCCACTGTAGAGGAAAATAAAGAACACCCCAGCCGGACCAGGTGATGGACAGGTACTGGGCGGGTCGGAGTGGCGGAGTATCGAGGACAAAACGGACGTTCAGGTAAGACAACGTCCCTTTTTCCTCCTCGATACTCCGCCACTCCACTATATGGGACTTACCCAAGCCTAAATCATTTGGGAGGGAACTGCACCCATCTCCTGGCCATGGCTGGGAATTATTGCTTGTAAAACCCTTCTACCAAAAGCCGCATCTGCGGATGCAAATGTGTCTACTCTGTAGTGTCTTATAAAAGAGGATATAGATGACCAAGTGGCCGCTTTACAAATTTCCTCTATAGATGCTTGAGTGGCCCAAGCTACCGAAGTAGCCGCACTTCTCGTAGAATGTGAAACTATACCCGCAGGTACTTGAGAACCTTTCAATTTATATGCTGCAGAAATGCATAACTTGATCCATCTACTAATCGTTGCTGAAGAAACTTTCTGACCCATAGTTGATGGCAGAAATGAGACCAATAAGGCTTCTGACTTTCTAAATTCAGCTGTTCTAGATAAATAATATTTCAGTGCTCGACGTACATCTAACGTATGCCACATCTTTTCCATCGGATGTTTCGGATCTGGACAGAAATTTGGTAATATAATCTCCTGAGCACGATGAAAAGTTGTATTGATTTTAGGAATAAACATCGGATCTAGTCTCATGACAACTCTATCCGGAAAAAACACACACAAATCCTTCCGAATTGACAATGCTGCCAATTCCGACACTCTCCTAGCTGATGTTATAGCCAACAAAAACGCTAATTTGATTGTTAAATGACGTATAGAGGATTCTTTGATGGGCTCGTAGGGTCCAGATGTTAAAGACTGTAAAACCAAATTAAGGTCCCAATTCGGAAATCTATGTACCACAGGTGGTCTTAAATTTACTGCACCATGCAAAAATGATCTGATTCTTTCATCATGCGTTAGAGGTTGATTCTTATCCGTAGATAGCACTGTGGCTAACGCTGCTACCTGGCGTCTCAGAGTTGCTGGAGCCAATCCTTTATCGAAACCTAACTGTAGGAATCTAAGAATGTCTTGAATAGACGCAGACGTGGGATCTGTATGGTTTTCTAAACACCAAAGAGCAAACTTTCTCCAGGTCGCATTGTAAATGCGAATTGTGGCTGGCCGTCTGGCTGCTTGAATAGTGGCAATAACATCATTCGGTAAATGGTCCTTCATGAGACGAATCCGTTCAAGCGCCAGACGGTCAATCGCAACCATTCCGGGTTTGGATGAAATACTGCTCCTTGACTTAGAGAAGTACCGTCTAGTGGCAACTTCCATGGTGGTTCTGTCGATCGATCCCTCAGGTCTGCAAACCACTCCCGACGCGGCCAGTATGGTGCTACCAAGACAATGTCCGCCTTTTCTTCCATCATTTTTCTGATTACATGAGGAATAATTGGAATGGGGGGAAAGGCGTAGAGAAGCCCTCGAGGCCAAGGGGCCCTCAACGCATCCTGAGCCTCCGCCCCCGGAGTCTGAAATCGGGAAAAGAATCTCGGGAGTTGCTTGTTCTTTGCTGTGGCAAATAAATCCACTATTGGGGTTCCGAACCTGTTGACAATCTGACTGAAAAGCTTCGGATGTAATTTCCATTCCCCTTGATCTATTATTCCTCTGCTCAACCAATCCGCTTGCTGATTTAGTGAGCCTGAAATATGTTCTGCTCTTATCGATAGTACATTCCTTTCTGCCCACGCCATTAATCTTTCTGTCTCCACCATGAGGGCTTTGGACCTTGTTCCTCCCTGTCTGTTTAGATGGGCCTTTGTAGCCATATTGTCTGTGAGAATTAAGACATGTTTCTGCTCTATCTGTCTTTTGAAGTGGCAAAGTGCCAATCTGACTGCTCTCAGTTCTAACCAATTTATGCTCTGTTTCTTCTCTATCTGAGACCAAGTTCCCTGAGCTAATTGTGACTCCAGATGAGCTCCCCACCCTAAGAGACTCGCATCTGTGGTCAGAGTTATTCTGGTAGGTTCCAGAAACAGAGTCCCTTTGGACAGAGCTGGGGAAAGCCACCACTTCAGCGAAAACCTCACTTGGGCAGGAACTGTGATCTTTGTCAATGAATCGGCCACACCTTGCTTTTGAAATGGCAGCAGAAGCCACTGTAGTTGACGAGAATGTCTTCTGGCCCATGGCACAATATTGATACAAGAAATCAGTTTGCCCAAAAGTTGGGACAACGTTAGCAGTGACACAGTTCTGTGTGATAGTATCTGTGAAACCAAGTTTCTGATGCTGGTTTGACGTTCGGGTGACAGTGACACCAGACCTTGGCTTGAATCTATAACAGCTCCCAGATGTAACAACCTTGTTGTGGGCTCTAGATGACTCTTGTCCCAATTTATTGTAAGACCGTGTTCTTGAAACGATTTGATCACCAGTCTTCTGTCCAATTGTGCCTGGTCTATTGTGGAAGATAGTATCAAAATATCGTCTAAATAGCAGACAATTCTCACCGACTTTTCCCGAAGAGTTGCCGCCACTGCCGCCATCAACTTCGTGAATGTACGAGGAGCCGACGATAGGCCGAAAGGCATGGACCGGTACTGAAAATGTCGGTTCCCGTAAGCAAATCTGAGAAATTGCCTGTGTGCCGGGTGGATCGGGACATGAAGATATGCCTCCTTCAGATCGATGGATTGCATCAAATCTTTTGGACGCACACATCCTAGAAGAGTCCTTAAAGAATGCATTTTGAAGCGTCGGTATCTCACATGGAGGTTCAATTGTTTTAGATTGAGAATGCCCCGCCATCCACCCGAGCTTTTGGGCACAAGAAATAAGATCGAATAAAATCCCTTGCCCATCTGGTGTTGTGGCACCACTTCGATGGCTTCTATCTCCAGTAAATGCTGGATCTCTAAATTCATTAGATGTTGTTTCGACGGTAGAGATGGGATTGGACATTGAAGAAATTGAAAAGGGGGAGACGACATAAATTCCAGTTGAAGGCCGTCTGTCACAGTTCTTATAATCCAATTGTCCGTTGTTGACATTTCCCATTGGTGATAGAACTGTTGGATTTTGCCGCCAATGGGAAGATGTTTCAAGGAGTCATTTTCCACGACGGAAGGGACGATAACTGTTCCCTCTGAAAGGGCGTTTGAGCCCAGTCTGGCGCCTTCCCCTGTCACGAAAGGAAGACCGGTCTGTAAAATTGTTGTACTGTTGTGTAGTGGGGCGTGGAAAATATGACCCCCCTGCCCCCTGCTCAGGCCGAAATGGCTGACGAGAGAATGGAGAAAATCTACGATCTGGGCGTCTGTAAGATGAAGGTAAGACTTTCTTTTTGTCTCTTCCTTCCACTAGAATAGAATCCAATGATTTTCCGAAGAGTGATCTCCCTTGATATGATGATGTTGTTAAACGCCATTTTGATTTCATGTCTGCGCGCCATTGGCGCAACCACAAGAGACGGCGGGAGGTTACTGCAGACGCAAGCGCTCTAGAAGCAAATTTTGCGGCGTCTAGTGACGCATCTGCAGAATATTCCGCAGCCGCAATCAATCTGGCCATATCCTGATGAAGACGGTTGTCCTGAGGTGGAACTCTGTCCTTCAGTTGTCTTAGCCACACTAGTGAAGCTCGATTAAAAAAGGACGCTGAAGTAGCTGCCCTAATCGCCCAGGCTGCTGCTTGGTGGGTTTTTTTAAAAGTTAATTCTGCTCGCCTATCTTCCTGCTTTAAACCTTCTCCCGCGTCTCCAACTAATATGGATGGTGAAATGAGACTGGCTACAGGTTCATCTACTGATGGTACTTGTAGTAGAGCATCAAATTCAGGGGATGCACAATAGAGCTTCTTGTCAAAATTATTAGGAGCTGACAGAGCTCCTGGTCGTTCCCATGGTTTTTGAACTACTTGAGCAAATAAATCAGGACATGGAACGAAGTCACAGTCAGTAGTTGGCATTGGAAAAATGTTACTATTGGACTCAGTTGTATTGCTAGCAAATGTAGACTGGTTTGAACCCTTTTCCATATTGGTAGCCACCTTCGCCTTGCGAAGTAGCGATTTAAACAAAGCAGGGTTAAATAGGCCTTGAAAGGCTGGCTTATCTGGAACCTCTCCTTCATCATCGGACAATTCAAAATCCTCCAGGTAATCTTCCCCTGGATCCACTAACTCTGCAGGTCTGAAATCCTGAACTGAATGCTGATGGCTAACCTTGGATGCATTACTTTGTCCAGCGGATACAGCCACCGGATCCATATGTGCTACAGGAAAGCCTGAATGTTGTAACCCCGCCTGGAAAATTCTATTGAAAGTTTGAGCCAGAAAGGCCTGGAATTCCATGGGCTGACCAGACAAGGAATTTTCTTCCATTCTAAGTCCAGCTGCAGTCGGTGTAAAAGTGGCCTCTGTGACCCTCTGGGGCACTCTAGTAATAAATGGAGCTGATTGAACATTATCTTGTGCTATAAAACAACCCGAATTTTGTGGTATAGCTTGACCCATGGTATCTGGAATTTCAGGTTTCTGAGAATGGGAACCAGAATCCAGAGTGTTGGTCTGTTGAACTGGGTCCAATTTAGACTGAATTACCATTAAATCATCTTCCCCACTTAGTATAACTGCTTGCGCCGAGCGCTTAGCTTTATCAAATTGCCTTTCCAGTGCATTATGCCTGCGCTGATCCTGTTTAGTCATCTTTAAAGTTCCATCTGACTGACCAAATTCTGAAGGAGGAACATGTACAGCAGCCTTGGTCTTAACTTTTTTTGATCTCAGTGTCTTAGGAGAGGGAGCCCTAGGAGGAGATGGACTATGATCAAAATCTGAGGATAATCCCTCCTCTGCCATAGCCTTTTGTCCCAAACCTTTCTTAAAATGAATAAACAAATAAAGGTAAATTAATACTTTCCTGTAATAGATGAAAAGTAGTAAATCGTGAAAAAAAGCAGGAGGTAGGACCCAGGCCAAACACTGGTGCAGTCCGTGTTTTCTTTTCCACCAGCCTCTATCCTTGACAGAGAGCGTGGTGGGACAAACGGCCAGCAACCGCTCCCATCTAGTGGCGGTTGGGCGCTGTAACGGCAGTTAAAATTGTAGGAGCTGTCAATCTTCGTCAGAAGATCGCCCCTCACGCCGTCCCAAATGCCAATAACAAAGCTTCTTTGTTTATTGCGCTCCGATCTCCGCTGTAGCAATCAGCTCCGTAAAAAGCAACCCCCTGCTGATAAGAGTTTGCCGGCAAGGCAGGAACTCAAAAGCCGCCAATTCCAGGTGGAAAGACAGAGAGGCTACTTGAGTGAGGGCGGTTCTGCCGGCGTGCCGGTTAACCATCTCCTCGCTCGCGGCAACTGACAGTTGAGGCAAAGGTTCTGCCTTTCCTCAAGCGCTGACAATCTTTTAAAATGAACTGCGGCAGGCGCCCCAGCCGGGAAACGCCTGGCCGCTCTTAGCGCTGATGATAAGGAAACAATGTAGCCCTCTGCAAACTAAGTATCCACCTTCAAACTATCCAATTTTGACCTAGTTAAGTCATTAAAAACCTAGAGAAAAGGCACTCCAATCTGATCACTATCGACTGAGTGAAAAGACTGGACATGCGCAGTTGGAGTAGGCGGGACAAAGCTGTGGAGGAAGATTTGATTGGCACCCAGTCGATCTAATGACGGTGAAAGAAACCCATATAGTGGAGTGGCGGAGTATCGAGGAGGAAAACTGTTTGGATGAACAGAGAAATTCCACGCTCAATCAATAATAAGTAACAAGACTGCAGAACAGTAAGGTTGCATATAGATGCAAACAATGACCATTTTTTTCATATTGTTAAATCATAAAGCAAAATACTTTACATTAAATCCCAGCACTGCCTCTAAATTTATTACAGCAAATGTCACTGAATAAGAATTCTGACTCCACATACTACATTTCCTCATTACTTGCGCTTAAAGGGAGCAATAGATAATAAAATCAAATTAAATAAAGACTAAAAATAAAGTATGTCGAACTCACCACTGGAGCATTGCGAAAGCCTTTAATTGCCTGAAAGACACCCCCGCCAATCATTCCCATAGTAAAGGCACCACCACAGTCATCCACGATCCGCCAGGGGCTGTTAAAATAGAAACAAGTCAGTATAGGCTCTTCACATAGAAGGTTCTGTATTATGCTAAGAATTTATGTTTAATTAAATACTAAAAGTATTTAAATTTAATTTTTCTGAAGTATTATACTACCCCAATATTATATTGATATGTACAGTGGGGCAAAAAAGTATTTAGTCAGCCACCAATTGTGCAAGTTCTCCCACTTAAAAAGATGAGAGAGGCCTGTAATTGTCATCATAGGTAGACCTCAACTATGAGAGACAAAATGAGAAAACAAATCCAGACAATCAGATTGCCTGATTTGGACAGAATTTATTTGCAAATTATGGTAGAAAGTAAGTATTTGGTCAATATCAAAAGTTCATCTCAATACTGTGTTATATATCCTTTGTTGGCAATGACAGAGGTCAAACGTTTTCTGTAAGTCTTCACAAGGTTGGCACACACTGTTGCTGTTATGTTGGCCCACTCCTCCATGCAGATCTCCTCTAGAGCAGTGATGTTTTGGGGCTGTCGCTGGACAACACGGACTTTCAACTCCCTCCAAAGGTTTTCTATGGGGTTGAGAACTGGAGACTGGCTAGGTCCCTCCAGGACCTTGAAATGCTTCTTACGAAGCCACTCCTTCGTTGCCCGGGCGGTGTGTTTGGGATCATTGTCACGCTGAAAGACCCAGCCACGTTTCATCTTCAATGCCCTTGCTGATGGAAGGTGGTTTGCACTCAAAATCTCACGATACATGGCCCCATTCATTCTGTCCTGTACACGGATCAGTCGTCCTGGTCCCTTTGCAGAGAAACAGCCCCAAAGCATGATGTTGCCACCCCCATGCTTCACAGTAGGTATGGTGTTCTTTGGATGCAACTCAGCATTCTCTCTCCTCCAAACACGACGAGTTTGTTTCTACCAAACAGTTCTACTTTGGTTTCATCTGACCATATGACATTCTCCCAATCCTCTTCTGGATCATCCAAATGCTCTCTAGCAAACTTCAGACGGGCCCGGACATGTACTGGCTTAAGCAGGGGGACACATCTGGCACTGCAGGATCTGAGTCCCTGGCGGCGTAGTGTGTTACTGATGGTAGCCTTTGTTACGCTGGTCCTAGCTCTCTGCAGGTCATTCACTAGGTCCCCCCGTGTGGTTCTGGGATTTTTGCTCACCGTTCTTGTGATCATTTTGACCCCACGGGGTGAGATCTTGTGTGGAGCCCCAGATCGAGGGAGATTATCAGTGGTCTTGTATGTCTTCCATTTTCTAATTATTGCTCCCACAGTTGATTTCTTCACACCAAGCTGCTTGCCTATTGCAGATTCAGTCTTTCCAGCCTGGTGCAGGTCTACAATTTTGTTTCTGGTGTCCTTCGACAGCTCTTTGGTCTTCACCATAGTGGAGTTTGGAGTGTGACTGTTTGAGGTTGTGGACAGGTGACTTTTATACTGATAACAAGTTCAAACAGGTGCCATTAATACAGGTAATGAGTGGAGGACAGAGGAGCCTCTTAAAGAAGAAGTTACAGGTCAGTGAGAGCCAGAAATCTTGCTTGTTTGTAGGTGACCCAATACTTATTTTTCACCATAATTTGCAAATAAATTCTGTCCAAATCAGACAATGTGATTGTCTGGATTTGTTTTCTCATTTTGTCTCTCATAGTTGAGGTCTACCTATGATGACAATTACAGGCCTCTCACATCTTTTTAAGTGGGAGAACTTGCACAATTGGTGGCTGACTAAATATTTTTTTGCCCCACTGTATTACCGACGTTTTAATATAACAAATGAAAACCGTCGGGACTGGCAGCCAATAAGTGAGCTCCTTTTCACAGTACACACACATACACAAACAAGTAATCAACAATTTACCAGCCTAAGTATAGACAGATACACCAGCTTGGGGAAAAGTGTAGAATAGTTGCAACACCTGCATAGAAACACAAATGCTAGTGTATTGAGCTGCTGCCCAGCCCATATAGTAGTAGTTCCCTCTCAAAAACCTCACTTCCTTGACAACCAATTCATGTGAATTCTCTGCTTTTATTTATATTTACAAATGTCCGTGCATCGCATTTCATTTCAAATGTATTAAAAATACATTTTTACTAATTTGCTTGCATGATACTTGAAAATATAATTCTTAAAATAAAACTATCAGTCAACCCAAAAACATAATGGTTGCATGATTTGTTGTTGGGATGGCACGCTTTTTTATGGTACAAGGGAACAAAAACACAGGGGTATTTTAGAAGACGTTTTATACGAGAGGTTTTGCTATTAAATGGGGAGAAGATTAAAAGACAACATTATTTAAAAATTCCAGTCTGGTTATCAATGACTGAAGCATTTTCATATTCAATAATATTTAGAAAGGAACAAATTATTAGATATAGTAAATTATTGAATGAAAAGGGTGAACTTAAATCTATGCAACAATTAGAAGAACAAGGTATAAAGATGAATTGGTTTTCCTATCTGTAAATACATTCTAGATACGATAAAGATTTTAAGACAGAAGGTTTTTATGATAATTTGACTAATTTAGATAAAATTTTAACAGGTACTGATGAAAACGTAATTTAAAAACTATATGGATACTTATTGGAGGTTAAATTGGAAGAAGAAGAAGTTAAAGAAACAATGATTGCTTGGGGGGAAAATTTTGGTTGCGGGATTGACTTAGAGAAATGGCAAAAATTGTGGTTGTAAAATTATAAAATGACAATGTCAACTGCATATAAAGAAAATTTGTATAAGATGTTTTACAGGTGGCATTTACCCCGACGAGAATAGCCAGAATGTTCAAGAATAAATCTGAAAAATATTGAAATGTCATCAGATACCGTGTTCATATTACTATATGTGGTGGACGTGTGCAAAAGCCAAAAGATACTGGACTAAAATCCACACATGGTTGGAAAAAATGATAAAAAAGCACATAGATTTTAAACCAGAGATTTTTTTATTGAGGATTGTACCTGAAATATATAATAGAGAATTGAGATATCTGATTGTGAATGTATTAACAGCGGCTAGAATTGTGTTTGCTAAAAATTGGAAAAATGAGAAAATACCAATGCAAGATGATGTTATTAAGAAAATAATAGAATGTGCTGAAATGAGTAAATTGACATTTGAAATGAGAGAAGAAGATAAACAATATTATAAGATATGGGATTTATTTTATCAATGGTTAGATAAAAAATATGGAAATGAAATATGATAGAGATTTTTATAATATAAGAATTGTAGAACTATATAAAATATAACATAAAGATATATTATTATTGGATCGATTTAGGATGATGAAATGAATGTTATAATATAAATTAACTTAAATCTTAGAATATTTTGTACAAAATGAAGGCAGAATAGCTATAGTCAAATAAATGATTAATGAGGACAATAATACATATATATATTAGATCGATAATATAAGAATTTAGGTAAACTGTAAACTATGAATATGGTGAAGACGCACAAGACTTGTAACCAACCGACACACTGTGTGTAATTGAAGATAGTTTTATGTTTTTATGTATGTTTGTTTAAAAATAAAAATAAAATTTTTCAAAAAAAAACAAAAACCATAATGGTTGCAGAAATTACATGAGGCTGAAAGCACTCTACACGTGATAAAGTTACTCGATACAGATATTGACCCACACAAGTGTTTCCTAAACATTCTAATACATGTTGAAATGCCGCCACAAACATGAAACGTCCCTCTGAATAAAAGACAACTGAGTTATTAACACCACCACCAACCACAGGAGTTCCTCATCTTACGATCGCAACTGAGCCCAAAATTTTTGTTAAGTGAGACATTTGTTAATTGAGTGTTGCCCCATTTTACGACCCTTCTCACCACAGTTGTTAAGCGAATCAGTGCAACCATTAAGTTAGTAACACGGTTAAGTGAACCTGGCTTCCCCATTGACCTTGGCTTGTCAGAAGGTGATCACATGATCCAGGGACAGTGCAACCGCTGTCAATATGAGCCAGTTGCCAAGCGTCTGGATTCTAATCACGTGACCACGGGGATGCCGCAATGGTGTAAAGTGTGAAAAAGGGTCCCAAGTCACTTTTTTTCACTACCGTTGTAAATTCAAACGAATTTAATCTGCAAGTTCCTAATTGACACGGACGTGCGAGCTAATAAGCAAAAAGGGAAGATGCTCAAGTACCTACAGCGATCCCAGAACACTCCACACCAGAAGGCAGCAGAAAAGCAAGTTCGGCAGAGAGATAGACACGGAGCAAGGAAACCCGAGTACCTATACCTACTCTCACCTGTTTCATAATATTCACGGGGTGACCTTGGAGCTATCCCACCCCCCCACCCACCCCCCACCTATCATCCTGGCTCGTTTCTTTGTGACTTTTATGCAGTGCTTCTGAACTGCCTCCTGCCCTTGCCGCTTTTGTAACCAGGAAGGGGAGCAAGAAGAGGGAAGAAAAGAAAAAGTATATAAAGAAGCCTAAATGCCATCGCTAAAAAACAAAACAAAACAAAACAAAAAAGCCAAGGTGGCCCCAGCCCAGGCTTTTGGACTGCGGGTTCAATTCCTTTTCTCAGGATTTGACTCACAATCAGGAGGTTGTGAGTTCGATCCTAGGTAGAGGCAGATGTAGGGTCCTCTGCTTGGGCAGGGGGTTGGACTAGATGACCTGCAAGGTCCCTTCCAACTCTGTTAATCTGTTTAATCTGATCCCGCACAGAGATGGTTCGTTTTATCCGCTGACCTTGAGCTACCTCGCAGGGTTGTTGTGATAGGATACAAAAAGGGACTGTCCCTCCCTCCCTCCCTCGCAGAGGGAAAGGAGCAGCCGACGGAGGAGAAAGGAAGGGCGAACTATAAAGAAGGAGCCCGGCTACGGCGGGGCTCCCCAAACTTCCCTTTCCCCGCGGCCTCGAAGGAGCTCAAGCCGGCCAGCGAAAGACGCTCGCTCGCTTACGAAGCCGGCCCGAGCCCAGCTTTCCGTCCACCCACCCACCCACCGCCTCGGTTACCAAGGTTCCCGGGCATATTCCTCCATGGCTCCCGGCCTTTAAGCTCGCTGGCCCACGCGAAAAAGGAAGAAGCCTCCGGGCGAGTCACGTGACCAACGCCTATTGGCCGGCGGGTGCACGTGGCCCAAGAGTCGAAAGCGCTCGCGCTTCGGAAGGTAACCGAAGGCAGATCTACGTCACTCGCTGGTTGGTTCCCCAGAAGTGGCAAAAGCAACAAAGGGGGCGTGGTTTTCAAACGGTCTGATTATTTGACAACTAAGGAAACACAAGAGGCGGGGGAGGAGTTACAACACAGATCGGAACTATCGCGTGTGTCGGATGCCGCTCTCGTAACTGTAATTTCCCGCCTTCGTGTTTTCCTTCGGCCGAAGGGCGGGGTGGGGTCAAAGGATGAGATCGGATCTGTATTTCGTCACTACCGGGGGAGGAGGAAACCAGCTCTTGATAGGGCGCCGACGAGGGTGGGTGGGCCTAATTGAGCCTTCTTCCCCGGCGATTGGTCTGTTGGTTTTCATTTAACGATGACGTTTGACGACGTTTGAGAGGGGGGGGAAGCGTAGCGTGAGGAATTCTGTTGGGCCGCGGATTGGTGGGCGTGTGTCACGTGCAGGTGGCTCCTTGGAGCAAACGGGAGCTGCTTTGAATCCGGGAACGGGAGGGGCTGTTGAAGGAGAAGCGACGGGGGTTTTCTTGAGCGCGCGGGCGGGCGGCTGCGTGACTCTCCGGGGCGGTAAGAAGGTGAGGCTGAGGAACTGTAACGGTGTCAACTGAGACTGTTTGCGAGAATTATGGTGAGCCTGAATGAAGAGGGTTTCAAGGATCACTTCTGACCCAGAAACAAGGATGATCAATAGAGCTTCGTTGTGCAAATGTCCTAAAACTCTTGGAATTTTAGAAGTGGGATAAAATACGTTAAAAATGGAGAGAACTCTCGTATTTGTGCTCTTCGGTTATAATGAGGACAGAATATAACTTTTTTAAAAGACAAAAAAAAGTCACGGTTAGAGTAAATATGATCGTTTTACAGGTAGTCCTCGACTTATGACCCCAAGCGAGCCCTGCATTTCTATTGAGACGTTTGTTAAGTGAATTTTGCCCCATTTTTTTTTCTCTGGCCTTGGTTGTTAAGTGAATCACTGCAGTTGATGAAGTTAATAACCCGGTTAAGTGAATCGGGCTTCCCCATTGATTTTGCTTGTCAGGAGGTCGCAAAAGGGGATCCGCGGGATCTTGGGACACGGCAACAGTCATCAATAGGAATCGGTTGCCAAGGATCTGACTTTTGATCTCATAATCATGGGGATGCTGGAAAGGTCATAATGGTGAAAAAACAAGTCAGTCACTTTTTTTCAGTGCCATTGTAACTTTGAATGGTCACTAAATGAACTCTTGTAAGTCGAGGACTACATGTATATGGAAAACTCAACCAGCTAGATCAGAGCTGTTGTTCCGCGTGAGAATTCTATGCAATGAGTATTTTGTTTGAACAGTCCTGGCTGTAGACTGACATGGTGTGGCAGCAAATTCATCAGCTTGGTAAGAATTGGATCAGAACATTCCTAATATACAGGCTAAATTTTCAAGATTCTGTTTGCAATACCCAATTTTAAAAAATTAGTCGCCCTATGGAGTTGATTTCCTATTCCATTCTTCTAGTGGGGCAGTCACTATCAATTTTATGTCATTCCAAATTCTGATTAAATTGGTGAAAGAGAGTCAAATACGCTTTTAAAGATTTCACTTGATTCTCAGGGAAATGCAAGTAGACAGGAAAAAGAAAAAAAAGTATAAACTACTCCAAAGTGATCCCTGATGGGTTATATCTACCATTAGCCCTAGAAATTGAATCCCATATATTCTGAGAAATAGTATTAAAGAATTCTGGTATGAAAACTTACAGAGGGTGTGCATGTTCTGGAAAGAGCAGTGATAAGCGCAAAATGTAATGATATTTCTTTCTCTGCTCAAATATAGAAAAGGGATTGGAAAAGCAACATTTGCACATCTGCTCCACTCTGATGCCTCTGCCGGTGGCATTGCAGTCCCGCCTAGCCAGGCGAGGCCTGCTAAAGCATGTAGAACCTGGTAAGTACGGGGGGGGGGGAATTAGGAGGAAGATAACTTGTATAGGCTGTCTACAAACCAAGGATGAGCATCAGGGATAGTTTCCAGGAACTAGAGCTGGTTAGTTCCCAAGTCATTTTTGGCTCTCTAAAATTGGTATCCATTCTAGATTGTGCAATTTTGCCACCTGTGGACGCCGTCTTTTTTTTCAAGCCTGATCCTGTTTCTTTCCACATAAGAGCCAGAAGAGGAAATAATTGCAGAAGATTATGATGATGATCACGTTGATTATGAAGCCACAAGAATGGAGAACCTGCCACCAAACTGGTACAAAGTCATTGACCCTGTTTGGTAAGCATATAGTGAGTGCTCAGTATGTCCTGCTAATGATTTCTATCAGAGTGTTTTTAGCCCGTGCTCACAGGATTCGTACTACTATTCATTGGTGCCCAATCAGGGAGATGTTTCTGGTTCTGTTAGCTCAGGGCTGTCAAACTCCCGGCCTGTAGGCCAGATGCGTCATGCGCTGGCCACGCCCACACCCGGTTTAGCAAAGGAGAAAAAAGTCCTGATACGTCATGTGACATCACCGTGACGACATGAGTTTGACACCCCTGTGTTAGCTGGTCTCTGAAAGGAGGAAAGATTTGGTGGTTCTGGAAGGCTACCATGTACTGCCTAGCCATCACTGAGTTGGCAAAGTTTTTATTATTTTTCATATCTCTGGTCCAGCAGAGTATTATTACTATGACATATATGTTTCCAAACCTAGAGACTTGGGGTACATACAGTATGAATATAATAGGATATAAAAGCAAAAATCAATTAATATAAAGTGGAAGTAGCTAGATGCCTTTCTGAAAAGTTAAGCTTTTATGGCTCTTTGAAGAACACTGAAAAAAGAAAGTCCAGTCGATATTACCGAGTAAGCTGTTTGTTATGTTTACATGATAGATGGTGTTTATTAGGTTGGGGGGGGCGGGATATTCTGTGTCTGAAAATTTTGATTATGTTATCTAGATTGGAGTCAGAATATTATACCAACCTGTGAATTGTGTTAACCATAATGATGATCATGTGTCATGAAGTTGGAGTTGACTCAGTGATCACATAAATAAGTTTTCTCTAGGATAATCTTTCTCCAGCTTGGTCCTTCAGGTTTTCCTGAATGAAGGGTGCACCCATTACTGCTGTAAATGAGTCTGGTTCAGCTTGCTGCTGATCATTCTCTGCTTCCTCCCACCTTTGCCAACATTGTAGACTTTTCAAGAGAGCTAGGCCATTGCATAAGGTGACCAAAATATGATCATTCGTGCGATAAGTGAAAACTCTGAATTGATACGTTATTTGATCCATATGTTTGTTTTCTTAACTATCTATCCTGCTGCTTAAAATTCCAACTGTTGCTTTCATAGCATATCACAGGGAAATCATTGCCTGTATCATTTTGATCTTTCTAGAATCTGAATATCTTCACAGCTATTCTACCAAGCATTAGGCTGCAGCTTATTTCTTGAATGCCTGATAGTAGTTGAAAGCTAGTCCTAAAAGCAACACTCAATTGTGAGCAGGGAATTGTGGAAAAAAACATTGGGATATCAGTCTAACTAAAATAAAGTCAGTTTTCTGACATTAAATGCCAGTGTTTTTTTTGCAAAAAGTGTTGAGAATACATTTCAGTGTTTTTGGAGAATGGGGGAATTTTGGGTTTGGATCTATTGCTATTGGCTCTAGAAGTAACAAATATAGTTCTCTTCTGCTTGTAGCTGCCTCCCTTATTATTGGAACTTAGAAAGTGATCTGGTTTCATGGCTCTCGCCTAATGATCCCAACTCTGTAGTGACCAAAGCAGCCAAGAAGTTGAAGAACAACTTAGGTAAGAATGTTTTGTTTTATATAGTGTTTTGGGTGTAAGTATAGATCATAATAGGAAAACTATAAATTGGTCTTAAATGAATAGGGGAATTAATCTCCGGAAGCACAGAAAATTTGATCTGGCCTCTGGTGAGAATGAATGTATGCCTAAGGCTACAAAGTGGGGATGGACAACCTATGGCCTCTGAATACCCCTTCTGCACTGGCATTTTTATTTTGGCTGTTCTTAAACAAAAATGTACAGAAGTAGTAAGTATATACAGGTAGTCCTCAGAGACCACAATTGGAACCAACTTGTTAAATAAAGTGGTTCACTTTGTGGGTCACTAAGTGAAACCATGAGTGTTGGTATGATTCCCCCCTCTATTTTTAAAGGAAAAAGAAACTCTAGATCTCTTTTGGATTGAAACTGAATGGTGCATTTTTCCATCACTTTCAGGTGGGAAAACATTCAACTGTAATATCAGAAGTAAAAAGCTATCTAATATCTTGAAATATACCAGATTCTCCCACTGTATTTGTTGCCAGCAAAGTGAACCACAGTTTTTCTTTCTTTCTTTCTCCCTCCCTCCCTCTCTCTCTCTCCCTCCCTCCCTCCATCAAAACATGGGGACATACAGAAGATATATGCAGTCATGAAGAGAGGTGATAATGGAAGTGTGGGGTTAATTACTAGCAATTTGATTTGGAGTCATTTAACAGATAATACTTGATTTTGTGAAAAAGGATAGCTTCATCTATTCTCTGCCACAGTTGCTTGTTGCATCACAGCAAGTAGTCAGTGGGCAATCTTATATAAAAGGAAATAGTTGATTGTATTTGCAGTGTTCATCAGCAGTGAAAAGCTATTAAAACTGTCTCAATGACCATCTCTCCCTTTCTTTAACAAGGAGCTGTGCATGCTGCTGTTTTGGTACTTAACTCGTTTTGGAGCTGTTAAGGCGGTGTTAGGTGGCCACTGAGTCTGCTGCTTATGGGCAATTCAGTTTTCAAAAAGATTTCCAAAGCAGGGGGAATCCATTTACAGGTTGTCCTCATTTAGTGACTGCCTTATTTAGCAACAGCAATGAAAAAGTAACTTTATTACCAGTATTAGCATTTACAACCTTCAGAAGTTTGTAAAGCAAAGGAAAGCTGAAGCAAGATCATACAGAAAGTTGCGGGTTTGTGTAGCAACCACTTAAGCTGTTGGTTCCAATTGTGGTCTCTAGCCAAGGACTACCTGTATATGCTGGAGTCCAGTATCTACTTACATACATTACTGTTTAAGAACAAAAAGAAAAAAGAAAAACGACAGTGCAGAAGAAAAAGGCAAGTGGTAGGCTGTCGCAAAACTAAAATTAAAATATTCATCTCCTTTAGATGCTGAAAGCAAAACAGAACGCTTCCATGATAAGATCGAGCGGGAAGAGGTGAAGGAACGTCGCTATCACCGGCGGGAAGAACTGGCCCCCTACCCTAAGAGCAAAAAGGGTAAGAGTAGATGCCCTATCCTGAGCTCCCAAAGGTGCTTTGGCTAACAGCATACAGTGTCTCTCCTGGAGGAATGGGTTTCTCTTAGCCCCAAAGTGATTATCAAAGTCTGGCATCCCTCTTGTGTCTCTTCTACAGCAAGCCGAAAGGATGAAGAACTTGATCCCATGGACCCCAGTGCTTACTCAGATGCTCCTCGGTGAGTCTGCTCAGTAGAAAGCTCCCCCTGCTGAAGCCAAGTATCATTGCAGAAAGACGGCTAAATTGGCAGATCAGCAGTAGGCCCTGACAAATGTTTCCAATTTCAGGATTGAAAGAGACAACAGGAAGTAGGGTTTTTTTTTAAAAAAAAATTGTGAGTAGCTCCCTGCTGGATCTTAAAGAAATTTCACTAATCAGAAATAATTTTTGAACTATATCTTTCATTGCTCAGATTTGATATATTAGGGCAGTTTTGTGTGTTCCAGTCGTCTGCTGGAATTATTAATGAGATGCATTCAGGCATTTTAAATTATCCATTCTATATTTTAGACTTTTCTAACATCTGTACATAAATTATGCCAAAGCGTAACTTGTATGATCGATAGGGACTAAAAACTTGCTTTTTCTATGAAAAAATGGATTATAAGGAAATGAAATTCTATCCCTGTAACTACATGATTTCATTTTCTCAGACTTATACCAATCAGATGCTCAAGTGTTGGTGCCATAAGTTGGTGTCTTATGGTGTTCGTGGCATTTTAAAAGTCACCGAGCACTTCGGGCTGCTTTAGGAGCTGAGAACTATGTAGGAGAGTGGGTGCAGCGGGGTAGGACCAAGGCTAGATGAAGTTAGAAAACAGAGGCAAAGTCAGAAAGGCCAGTGGCAGGATCGGAGAGCAGCCAATGACACCAACCTTGTTTCTGCATCTTTCCTACCTCTCAAGGGGAACCTGGTCCACGGGGCTGCCCAAGCGAAATGAAGCCAAGACTGGTGCAGATACCACAGCTGCTGGCCCACTCTTTCAGCAGCGCCCTTATCCAAGCCCTGGGGCAGTCTTACGTGCGAACGCAGAAGCTTCTCGAGCCAAACAGCAGGACTGAGATGCCCACACCTCCTTTTATCCCTGAATGAATGAATGTTAAGTTCTGAAAGGCTCGCTGCAAGAGCAGGACTCCCTCTGGATGACAGACTGGGCCAGCGGTAGTCTTTCCAAATCTGTACTACAACTCTGGCATGTCAGCGGTAAGAGAGGCTGGTTTTTATGGTTCAGCGGCTTCCGAAAAGCTACAAAGTTCCCAATATCTTTGGGGCTTTCAGGAGACAGTGTTTCCCCACAGAAGAGGTTTTACATGTTTGACCTGCTGACTTCTGCAGGGGACAGTCTCCTCAACAGTCTCCATCTCCTTCTCCCATCCCACTTTGAATTTCAAAAAAAAAAAGTTGAGAGAAAACCCGCTTCGGTTTTTCCCATATAACAATTTTGATTCGCTTATAATATTTATAGCATAAAGAAAAACGTTTGCAGACAGGTTTGTAGAGCCTGGTCAGTGAGGACCAGCCAAGGCAAGGAGATGGAAGCCAGCGCACCTTCCCACCCTCTCCTCCCCCAGCTCAGAGTAGCTATAAGACACACAGCTCTTTGATTCTGCTTAAATGATCAGATGACACCTGGGCTTGCTTGCTTTAGAAATCTGTATTGTTTTTACAAGAATAAATAAAATATACAAAGCTGCCTAGTGAGTATACTTAAAATATAACACATTAGTTCCATACTGCCTTTATAATGCAATTAATACTTGATACGATGCTATAGTTCTGCATAAATATATGGCTGGGGATAGGGAGTAAAAAGAAATACTGTCTCTCCCTTTGTACTGGAGAGGGAAAGGCTCAATGCACTAAGAGAAACGGAAATGGAAAGCAAGGAGAAGTCAATATGTTGTCTTCTTTTTGGTCTCCAAGGTCTGGATTTGCCCAGGCCAGACTTTTGCCGGCTCAGCTACTGAAAGCAATGTAAAGTGAAGCCATGGAATTTAGACTGGGTTAGTCTCTGCTACAGATTCTCAGGTGGAATAGGAGCAAAGTCAAAGCCTTAGACAAGTTACAACTCTTCTGATAATGTCTGTCATTCAGAACAGAATGGTGGTTTGGAATCAATCTCAGTTCATAAGAATTGGGGGCCAAGGGTGGTTCACGCATGATTATTTCTGAATTCACTCATACTGCCACATAGGACCATTCTGTAATTAGCATTAATATCACAAGTTTTTGACCTTACACAATTTGCTGTGTCCCCACCCCATCCCAGCTGGATTGTAAACAAAACAGAATTAGGAAAGGAGAAAGAAAAAAGTCCAGGTCTGAAGTTGGTCCTTAGTGTTGCAATTTGTAACAGACTTCTGGCAGAATTTGGCAAACACTAGGAACAAACCTTAGAATTCAAATTGCACACCAGACTACTGAGACAATCAATGAAGGGTATTGCTTCATTAAAAAGAAAATTGGCTCTAATAGCTCCTTTACTCCTCTGGGAAGATATAACCGATCATCTAAATCAGGGGTGTCAAACTTGTGTTGTAATGTGATGTATCGTGACTTTTTTCCCCTTTGCTAAACTGGGTGTGGGTGTGGCCAGCGCGTGACATATCCGGCCTGCGGGCCGCGAGTTTGACAGCCCTGACCTAAATGAATCATTAATTGCTATTGGAGCCCCTATGGTTCAGCTCTGTACTTGAGGCAGATCTTAATGGGAGACCAAGTTTAGCTTGGTAAAGTGCATCAGGCAACCAAAAGGCACATCTGAGAAAATTAGTCCCGTCTTTCCTGTGCAGTCAGTGCCGTGAATTGTTCTGCATCTTGTAAGCGCAGGCAGAAGATTTCGTTAATCTAGAAAAGCATCACAGCTGAAATGCTGCTGAAGTCTTCGGTGGCGCTTTCTCTGCTGCTTTAAGAACCTTTTTCTTTAGCTGAGACCCTGAAAAAAAGCAGAAGAATGGTTGAGCTCAGTCGGGCACAGGACCTGGAGATTTTGTCAACTCTTAGGATATCCCATCTGCCACTAAGCAAATTACTTATACAATTTATACGTTTATAAGCAAATTACTTATACAATTTATAAGTATAATACTTATATTGGGGATTGCTTTCCCCAATTTGGATATTGATTCACTCATCTAGAGGGTACAGGGGAAGGGTGACATTCATATTTTTTTCTTCCTCTGCAAATTATTTCTTGCCAAAATCAGGAAGTCAGAAAAAAGAATCTTCATTACTACCCTAGCCTTGGTTACTGAATCCTATGGATTTGAACATGCACACTACCAATAAACAAGCATGGATAACATGGAACAATATTCCTTCGTGTTTTATATGTCTTTAATTACAGTATGCAGTAGCCTGACTATAGCTTTCTGAGAAGGCCCTTCAGTTTGATAATGGAATTTGGTGCTCAAACAAAACCAGAACTATATATATTATAACTATATATATTATGTGAACAAGGTAGGTGGCCCTAAATTGAGAATCCCACCCTTTTAGAATTGCCGTTTTCCAAAAAAATTCAAAACAGCAAGCTTCTAGACCCTATGCTTATGCGGGTGGTTTTAATAATGGCTGGGTTCACCAATAAAACATGATTTTGGTTTACTGTGTTCTCTGAACACAATCATGGTTTGTGAACAATTTATAACAATGTATTAAAGCAAATCCCACCATGGATAACAACAAACAGTCATTAAAATATTCTCAGTCTATTGGGCCTTACTGTTACCAATTGAAATTTAATCAAATAATCCCTTTTTCCTAGTCTGCAGATATCAAAAGCATTCTGCAACAGAATGCAATAACAACTGCAGAGTCCTTGGTTTCTCTGTGAGCCTGGTAGCTTTCTTGAAGACGTTTCATTACCAAATTAAGTAACTTCATCAGTGCTGATGAATAAAAAAAAAAACACATTTAAAGTTTGGATATATTAGAAAATGAATTTTGCCTAAAAAGCAAGAAACCACTACATCAGAGGCATATAACTCCCATGATTTCTTGTTTTTGTTTTTTTATATTTGCCTGTTACAGTTTTCCCAAGTTCCTTATACTTACGAGGGCTTCAAAGACATTCAGCTGGGGTACCAAGGATGGGAGTCGTTAGAAGCAAAATAGCAGGCACAACTGGGAGGATCAAAGTCCTGCCCCTCTTAGGTTCATGTAGAAAGACTGGGGCACGATCACCCAATTGCACTCCCATTTTTACACTGCTGACACCTTGTTGATATCCCTAGAAAAAGATCTCTGATGACTAATTAAGCCATCTAGCAGGATTGGAGAGCATGCCATTGGTTTTTTCTGACTTGAGTTCAACTCAACTTCTTAGGTGGTTGCTAAGCATGGTACCCTTAGACCCACATGGTAAACTGCCAAAATAGGTAATCTGTGGCCTTCCAAACAGCACTGAACAACAACTCCTAGCATCCTTCATTACTAACCAAGCTGGTTGTTAATGTTGGAGTGGCGGATTGGTAACATCTAGAATACAATATGGGATCAACTCTATTCCTGATAGTACTGCATTTGGATCAGGGAAGGCAACATCAAAGCTCTGTTTATTGGAGAGTTGTCCCCTTTTAGCTAGAGCCACCTAAAGTGGTTGGAGTGAAGTGAGCAAAGAATATGTCTGAATGCTTTCTATGGGAAGATCCCAAATTTAGTAGTTATTCCATTTGCCCACCTAATAGATCATCATATAGATTAGGGGAAACCGCCCATTTGGCAAAGAGGAATCATACGCAGATTCCATGTGCTATAAATAATGGCATATTTTTAAAAGCACATTACAAAGGCTTGCTGGGTTTCAATTACATCCTCAGCCACTTATCCCCAACCAATGGTTTACTCAGTTAATCCAGATTCCTGGATTTGCAGGATGTAATGAATTATAAATGAACTGCTCTATCGGAATTGATACCACAAGCTAGGATAAAACGTTTCGTGGTTTGTGGTACATTGTGTTCTTATTTTAACAAGGTTGCTACGACAATGTTGTCACAGTAACTAGGACACTGACCTATTTAGTACTTCCTCCTTTTGCTCCTTGAGCCAGATCTGCAAATAAGTACAGCCAGAATAAATCATGCCAACAAACAATGTAGTTTGATTTCCCCCACCAAAAAACCCCCAAGATGGGGGAATATTATTTTGAATTATTTCATAAAACAAACTCCAATTAGAAATTAAATTTATTAGGAGGAAAAGCCCTGCTTTAGCTGCAGTTTTAGGAAACAGTAAAAAAAAAAGAAAGCATTTAAAAATACACATATAACTCATTCCAGGCAGTGTAGAATTGCTTCAGAGTAAGGCATATCATTGAAAAGAAGGACAGGCTCTTGCAATGACCTCTAGTCTATGACACTATACTATATTTCAGCTGCAGAATCAACACTGTATGCCCAAAGAAACTTGTATCTGTATTTTCCTTTCTCTGCAAGTCACAAAACATTGGGTGTTCCTGACAAACTTTTTTTTAAAAGAGCAATAATTATCTCTCATATCTAGCAAAGGGGGGGGGGGGGAAAGGAAAGTGCCAAAGCAGGAGTTAGCTCCACAGCAGTTGTCTGGGCTGTAGGGCAAGCAAATATCTCAACTTGCATTTGAAATGGACTCCCAAAGTGAGCCTAGAGTTTCCCCCTAGACATTGTGCTAAGACATAATTGTGGCTTTCTTAGTTGGTTAGTGAATCAAATCCATTTCGCTTAATTGATATTCATTAGTTCATTATTAGTCCAACCATGGCTCAGCATTTTGTGCAAAAATTATGTAGGTGTTTATTCAATAAATTCATAGTTAGGCGAACCATGACGACTATTTCTGCCTAGGGAAATAGCCACAGAATCCACAATATTAATAGCATTTTGTAGGAGATAACAGCAAACAACTGCTGATGGTTCTAATCTAATTCTAAATTAGTGCTCAAATGCGAATCTCCCAAAGCAACAAAAATTCGTCAGTACGGTTACAAATCCAGAATGGAGAAGTGGTAAAATCCCCAGGTAGTGAAAATTAATAGTGAAAATTAATCCCCAGGTAGTGAAAATTAATAGTTCCAAGAGAGGCAGGCCTAGAGCTTCCCAAGAGATATGCAATACTCTATTCATTTGGAGCTACCCAGAAAACAGGCTACTTAAGCCTGTTCGAATCTCATAAGGATATGGCTAGCTGATGAGAGCTAAATAGCTTGAAATAGACCTATACTAGTCTCCCTTTATTTCTTTGTTGGTAAACGTAAGTTCAGCACAAAAATAGTTTGTTGCAGAAGTGACTGCCTGTGAAGGCTCCTGGAGCGGGATTAAAAGGCAAAAGTGGAAGCAGTATGCTCCATCCCATAATTGCATGGACCAGGTTGCCCTGATAGGCCGGTCTCACCGGAAAAAAACACTTAGGCTGTAGTTAAGTTCATCTAACTGGATCCTGTAGAGGAGAATCAATCCTGAAGACAAATCTAGCTGCAGTATAGAAATTCCTCTGGTCTGATTTGGCTCAGTGATTCCTAGCTATTCATCCACAGCTCACATCAAATATTTTATCTTACCCTGGGCGGATCCTGCAACTTTTTTTTTTAAATCAAATGTTCTGAAAGCAATGGTTTAGATCTTCCAAAATGCATCAGTTAAGCAAAATGTGCATAGTTTTGCTTACTTTTAATCTGTATTCATCTTTATGAATAAGTTTCCGGACTTCTTGTGAGATAAGGAAATATTGGAGACCACAGAAAATCAGTTTGATGAATTTTTGAAAATGCCATTTCTTCCTGTTCATTGGCCACTAACATTTCACAGCCATCTCTTTAAAAGCTTTGAGGACAGTTTTTTTTCCAGATCCACTTGGAGATCTCAAGACTGACCCAATCCCATGCTACTTACCTACTGCTCTTCCCCACGGAAACCAAGATTTCAGTCTTTGCCGTTTTACTTTCTACTTTAGTCACGGGGAGGGGAGGATCAATTCAAGGAAGCAAATCTGTCATCTCCAGAATGAGATGGTGCATCAGATCTGGCAGAATGCTACATTGGGCCCCATTCTCGCTGAGCCTCGAGAAGAATGCATCTCACCAACGTGACCCATTTTCATATACTCCAAATCTGGTTCCTTGGAATAAATCATGGGTCAAAGAATAGGAGTAATTATCTATGTTGCTAGGCTGTGCCCACTATGTTTTGCCCCTCCTTCTGCATCCTTAGTAAAACTTCATTAGAACTTCTTCTCCTAGGAAGGGTTTCTTAAAAGAAATTAACCAGATTTCCCAGTATCTGGTAATACTTTTCTAAAAAAAAAAAAAATGCAGCTCACGCCTATTAGGGAAATGTTTTACTATCCAGAGAAGTAGGGAGCAAACAAAAAGCAGATCAACAGAACGTCGTGCCTGCAAACAATCTCTGGATCACAACAGCTTAATAATTCTCCTGGGAAAGAGGGCTACTGAAGACTTTAGTGCAAAGTAGGCAAAACTGTATCTTGAATTTCCCCCTAGATTTTGGATTTTACAGTACCCATAATAGGAAATTGCATCTCTCCTGTTTGACTGGGAGGGGAGTCCTACAGTTACGGGGACCCCGTCTTCCACTTTTGGTTTAGGTGTCTGAGCCCTGAAGTTCAGATGCATCATCCAAACGCCTGAGGTGGAACTTCTATAGGAGGCGGGTAGAATTGCGAGGAAAGAATTTGCACTAGCAAATCACTTGTGAAAGACAACATTGGATCATAATGCATGTAGACTTTATAAGTACTGTACACACACTTTAGATCAGTCTGAACTGGGAGGTATGTCATCAGTTCCTGACCCTTGAGTTATCGTGTAATTCTAATTTTAACATATTTAACTGTTGGTAAAGTCAAACTCAACTTTAATGATTAGAGAGTGCTGTTTATTCTTAATCAAACGGAAGAGTAAGGCTATGGCTGTTCCTTCTGATAGGGATGTACAATCTGAGGCCTCGAGGTTGTCAGTGGCCATTTAAAAACTTGAGTGTGGTCCCCAAGAAGCCTTTTAAAAGCTGCCAGACAAGTCAATGGCTTTCTGCATTTCAATATGCCCATCGTGTGCATGTATTATTTCAGGTACTATTATCTGCAACTTCAGTCGTTACATTCCAACTGACTCACAGGTATGGGAAAAACACTCCATGCCAGCCTTTTTTGTTTGGATGTCCACCAACTGCTTTGAACTACAGTTCCCATCATCCAACAAGCTCTTTGGCCACAGGCTGACTGAGGGGAGGACTACTAGGCTGATGAAGGCTGGTCAGAGTTCTGGCTCAGAATCGCCTCAGTCTCTTTCCTTTACAGGCAGCTGACCCCAATCTCAAGTGGAAAAGGCTGTCCCATCCTTGCCCCAGCCAACTCCCAGTGTTAATAGGGTTAGACATGCAGCATGAGTCAGATCTGCCCTTTTCAAGGTTTCCTCAAACATTAAGCAGTAAGGCTAAATAAATACACGCTCTTTATTCATCTGTAATTTATGTACATTGACAAACAGTACAGGCTTTCTTTGATTGTTTTCCTTAAAAAAGCAGAATTCATAAAAAAATGATTAGCAATGTAAAAAACATGTACATACACACTCACACACATCACGGTGACTTGTGTTTATCCTCCCCATTTCAAAAGGAAACAATTCACCCAACACTCTCCCACCCCCTTCACGCACACTCCGGGGTTAGTGTACTCCCCCTCAATCAACAAACCTAGTAGGTATAAAATACATAAGGATTAGGGAGAGGCAGTTCACACCCAAAAAAGCCTCATGTATTAACATAAAAAGGAAACCGAGGCAGAGAAGGGTCCTAACTTCTCAGAATCTCAGCCTCTCTTACCTTCCTGCCGCTTTTAGGTTCAAAATTTATACAACATGTGAACCATCAAGCTGGACAGTTAGTGTGCGCCTGTACAGATGATTGCCTGGAAGTGCAGATCAAAGGGAGACCTCTGTTTGGGGGGTGAGGGTGGGTGAAGAGGGAGGACACATACTTGAAATGGGCGTTAGACGTTCACTAAGAACCCTGTTTTCATTTAATCACCTCTCCTCCTTGCAAAGTACAAAAGAAATGAATGGCACTCAGATTCTTAGCTTCTGCTCCATAGACTCCTCAGTGGTTGTCCTGAAGTTCCAGAAGGCCAATTATGGCTTTCTAATAGCCACAGCACCAGCAGATGGTTGTCCCTTTTAATCTCTGGCTGATGCAAATTCCCCTTCCCATACTGTATGTACATTATATACCCATATCTGGTGGCTCTGTCCTAATAACCTTTACCCTGAGATTCTTCTTACTTCAAGCCAAGTGTCCCTTATGTGAAATGAGGCAATCTGTTCCAGTCCATCTCCTCTGTCTGTAACAAAACCTTAAAATTAATTACTAATGATTCAACGTTTGCCCAGTAACTCCCAAACATTTAATATTCTAAATACACACTGAAGGAAGGAAAGAATTAACTACACCTCAAACTCAGTTCCCTTTCCACAATGATCCAACTGCATTTGCTAAATGGTCAGAGCTGGAGAAGGAACAAAAGCAGAATGCCAAGCAACTCAAATACCCAACACCTTGATTTCACTGGCCTGGTACTGCCACATGCACGCACCCATACAGAACCTTTCTTGTTCAATTTTCATCTGCTTACAGTAGATAATTTTGACAATTTTTGAGCAAAGAGCTCTAAACAAGCTAATCCCTGTTACTTTCATATACCCGGCATTTTAAAAAAACCATTTGTATGTTCTCAAAGGGCAAATTACATTTTTCTTCACATTTTTCTCTTTATGTGCTGATATATATCCCCCTCTCAATCCTTCTTGGGATTATACCTTGTGACTGTGTACTTTTATTAAAAGTACACTTCTTTATAACATTTCTCCCTGCTGACCATAAGGAAGTTCTTGGGACAGAATATTCCCAAAATAGTTCTGCCTCAAGTTGTGTTTCAGGAGGCAATGTCGCCAAGGGCAGGACAGTGGAGAAAGAAAGGAAATTTAGAAGTCAAAGAGAAAGTGACCAATTCAAGCAAACAATGGCAGATACAAACTGAAGTGTATGGAGAATTATACATAAATATGTAACTGGATAAAATAACAATTTATGGGTTTATAAAACGGGTAGCTGAATAAGTTGGGAAGCAGATGACAGAAAAAGGAAGACAATATGAGTGGTCAGCACACAGTTAAGAACATAAAGACCAAGGCAAAGAGGGGGAGGAGATGAAACAGCAGAGAAGACCTGGGGAAAGAGAGGTCAGAAGTGAAAAAGATGGGACATTGCAAAAAGGGCTCCAGGTTTTGTGAACCTTCACAAGAAACCAGTGACAGGTAATGCAGGAGGTGTTCTGTTCTTCTCAACTGATCAGTACTGACTTGGACAGGAAGCCATCTGTAGTCACGGAAGGAAGTTCCTTGCTTTGTGCTCCATGGCCTTGCTGCTGGATAGATGCACCCACCAGGGATCGACTGGACAATGGTCCCTTGGGCAAGCTGTACAGATAGACAGCTCCTATGACCAGGCCTGCTCCTAGAGCAAAGAGTAGGTTGAGGTGAAAGTCAAAGAGGTAGATAGAAGCCACGGTGGACACCACAATGGAGAAGGAGGTGGCAAAGCCTTTGAGGATGTTGTCAGCATATTTCACAACCACTGCCACCAAGAGGCCGCCAAAAGCCTGATTTAGGATCACTCCCCACACCAGTGGGGTGTAGCCAAAGAAGAATCCATGCTGAGCTACAGCTGCCCCCTCGGTGGACCACAGCCCCAACAGCCCCAGCAAAGTCCCGAAGATGCCCAGTTGGACGTTACGTAGCCAAACCGAGGCTGTGCTGCCTTTGAGGATCTTTTCAAAATAGACCCCAGCAAAGCCAGACGAAAGGCAGGACACCACCACGGCCACAAGTCCCACCATGTAGCTTTGTTGCATCCCTTGGCCTTTGTAGGCTGGTTTGCCCCCTGCCTGCTGCTGCTCCACCTGGACAATGGCTACACCGGCAAAAAGAAGCAGGAGGGACAGCCACTGAAGACGCGACAGGCTCTTGCGGAGCATCAGCACCGAGAAGACAGCTGTGGTGAGGATCTTCAGCTGGTAGGTGACCTGGGAAAGGCAGTGCAGTTTAGTAGCCACTCCAATGTGCCATGAATCAGGAAGCTGCCTGCCACCAAGCCAGGGGCCTAAGGATTATGTAGTTCTCCTTAGTCCCAGACTCTACATTATGCAAGAAATCTTCAGATTGATTGGACCACAATCCCCAGAATTCCCAGCAGCTTGGGGGAGTTGCAGTTCCACTCATCCAGAAGATATCTGGATAGGGAAAGTTAATCTAAATTACTAAATCACTGTCAAACTATTTACTAAGTCTGCACTACTATTAATCTTGTCATCATTCCTATCACCCATCTCCTCCCATTTATGACTGTATGACTGTAACCTTGATGCTAATATCCTTAAGATTTATATTGACTGTTTCCTAATATGATTTGATTGCTTATTTCTAACCTATGACTGTCATTAAGTGTTGTACCTTTTGATTCTTGACGAATGTATCTTTTCTTTTATGTACACTGAGAGCATATGCACCAAAGACAAATTCCTTGTGTGTCCAATCACACTTGGTCAATAAAGAATTCAATTCAATTCAATTCTTATTCTTATTCTCTATTATTCTATTCTATTCTATTCTATTCTATTCTATTCTATTCTATTCTATTCTATTCTATTCTATTCTATTCTATTCTATTCTATTCTATTCTATTCTGATCCAGATCTCTCTTCAGTTATTGTTCCCATTTACAAATGAAACCAAAATTTCAAAATGCTGCCGCACCTTAAATCATTAATCTTACTGAAAAAACCAAGGTTACTGAAAACTATAGTGCTTTAGAATCAAATATCGGCTATCCAAGGTTGTATGCGTACCCTTATTTAATTCCTTAAAGTGGATTAAAAAGTGGAGATTGCAACATCTTGACCAATTCAGCATCCCATTATTGTTCGCTTTCCTTTTTAAAGAGAGAGGAATTCTCTACTATTTATGGAAGTGTGTCTATTTATTTGAAAATAACAAGAATACCTGCTAAGATTTCAGAACTTTATAATTCAGCATGTTCCCTCCAATTGATTATCAAAAACGAAGTATGTTAGACCAAATCAGAAAAATATTCAAAATTGTGCAGAGCAAGAGATTTGCTTAAGCTCCATAATTTACATAAACATCATTCAGTTTTTTTCTAAAGACAGAAAACAGGCTCCCTTTGCATATATACAGATATATATGGTTTTGAAATAATGTGACATTGTCAGTCCTTTACAGACAGGTAGCTACAGTTCCCATCTCAGTGGGGAACAACCTTAATGCCACCCGGATAAATGAAATCAAACAATAACACGGGGAACTCATTGTATTTCTAGATTTCACAGGATTTCAATAAGAACCATCCAGGAGACTTAAAGGAACATAACTCAGGATCCCCATCCTCATTACTCTGATGTGGGGAAGAGGGACACATTAAAAAAAATGGCAGGTATATTAAGTAGATGAAACTGAAGGACATTCTCCTTTGGAAAGATGCTTCTAACATTTCTGGAGAGCGCTTTAGAGAGGAAGTGACAGTAGGAGGAGCATCTCACCTGGAAGGTAGCTGCTGGCAGGTTGGAGATGGCCACATACTGCAGATTGTTTTGGAGGGTGTAAATGAGAGAAGGCACTGCTAGCTTGAGAGTGTCCATATACTGTACCAAAATGGAATCATACAAAGAGGCAGCAAACTGTCTCAGATTACCTGGAAAAGGATACAGACAAGAAACTGTTTCTTGTACATATCAAGACACAACAAAAAATTTCCAGTCTTTTTTGCTTTGATATGAATAACAATCGTAAAAGGGAGAGATCACTAGTTATTACACCTTGAAAATATTTGTTCCTTTCCTATCTTTGAGAATACTCAGGACAGGCAAAAAAGACAGAACCAGAACTACTACTCTTCCCCGAGAACATGGGGCAATATTGCACATTATTGTGCACAATATTGCACATGGCAATATGTGCAATAATTCTTTTTCCAGTGCTTGGGAATAAGAAAAAGTCCCAGGCCTTTATAATTGAGAGGGGAAGAAATGTCACAGAAGATTTAGTGTATGTACTGCACATCCTAGAGTTTTACAGCCTAGATCCTTGAGTTAATTTCAATAAAAACGTCTGTGAGTAAGGAGCTAAGACACCTGGCAACAATAAACTGTTCTAGCCAGCTGTAGGGAAATGGAGACTGCAAAAGAGGAAAAAGAAGAAAAAAGGTAATTAGAAGGATTGTTTCTCCTGGGGCTTTGATTTCACTGATTGATTGCTTAGGCTACAGCCACAATGGCCATGAGGTTCCCTATAGATTACTCTCATGGCTCAAGACCCAGGTATTTTCTCACAATGGCCCCTGCCCAACCAGTAAGCTCTAAAAGTACGGACTCCCTCAAGTAAATCATTGCAGGAAGCTCAGGGATAAACCTCTTCCATTACTGCTTCCTCTTGTCTAGAATGATATCCCATCTGCAGATCAAACTCTCCTCTAGACGTGCGTGTTCTATGAAGTCATTTAGCCCTGGCTGTTTCAAGCACACTGTTAAGGTCTGGCATATATATCAGCTTTTTGTAAAAAAATGTTTGTTGAATATGGGATTTTACTGGGCTAATTTGGGGTTATTGTTGAATTAATGATTATTGTGGTTGTTGCCCTTTTAATCCGATTACACAGTGAAATATGCAGGCTGCTCAGAGTCACTTGATGACTGGACCAGCATGTGAGTAAATAAAATAAAAATAAGCCCTTACAAGAAAAAACACTGCTCACCTTGCATCAATTGGTCAGTTAACTAGGTGTTTCATTTTGTATTTTGGCTCTTTAAAAAATAAATATATATATTTCTATTTACAGGAGTTTTATGACTGCATATGCATGTTTTAAATTATTCATTGATTCACATAATTGAATTGTATAATTATGTAATTGTTTCTTTCTGGGTCCATAGAAATATTTTTTCTTGCTTGTTTTCTTCCCATTTTTGTATATAAGTTGCAAGCATTCAACCATGTTATTTAAAGTTATGGTGAGCCAAATCCAGATATGGCCATAAAGAATAATGCGCAGAAATGACATAAAAGACGTTTAGATTTTTGCAATTCAACCATTAGATTGGGTCAAAGGCAGAAACACAAATCTCAATCCAGCAAGACCGTTAATGAACATGGAACAAGGCTGGGAGAAGCAAACCCTTCCCTGAGGGCCTCCATTTTCCTTAGTGTGGTATTCCCACCTTGCTTCTGAATAAAGATGAGCAGTAGGCAGGTGATTCCCTTAAGGATTTCGGCCATAACCACCGCTGTGGTAGCAAAGAATCTTTCTCCTGGCAAAGTGCGCACATAGCGAATGCTGAGGATGAGAGAGGCATTTTGCACCACCAAGACTGCCAAACTAATGTACTTCAACTGTCGGTTACCTGGAAAAGGAAGAGTAGAAAACAGCTCAGTATCCTTCTAGCAATATCATTCCTCAGCAGATTCACAAGAGATACTGCACTGAGAAAATGATCCCCATCCAGAAACAGCACTAGAGATTTTGATGGAAGAAATAATTGAGGACCTCTGGGTCCCCCTTGAAGTTTCTTGTATCAGAAACCACTAAGACTGGTGTTAGAACATGGAGAATCAAGGCTTGAATTCACACAAACCAACAGACACACATGCAGACCAATTCCTACCTTCTTCCCTTAGGTGCCAGCCCACTAGCTAGGATGAAGAATGAGGATTGTCAATGCAAGCAGAAGACGGCAGTCCTGGCTGACACAAGCGATCTGCAGTCTCATTTTTGTAGTGCCTATCGGATCACAGGTTTCTGCAGGCACCATTTTTCTTATCAAAATTTATTCCTCCTTTATATTTAACTTCATTGGGACTTATTTCACCCCTTAACCTATTGCCCTCAAAAGGGCCGACAATGTCAGCCACCATCCCTGATTAAAGTTCCAACACTAATTTACAGATTTAATCAAAATTCAGAGTGCAATCCTACAGTCAATTGGAAGTCTGAACTGATCTTGAGAAATGGAAGTGAAAAACTCCAACTTACCCACCTTCATTTTCCAAGAGCAGGAATCTTAATAAATTGCTGACCATGTCAAAAGGGAATAGTGTATGGGTTTTTTTTGAAATATGTCTGGTTTTGATAAATATAATGAGTGATAATAGGCACTTAGATGATCCAATATTCTAGCTTCTTGACGTCAAATGGGAAAAAAATCTCTCTCTAATCTAATTGACAAATAAAAGTTATTCAGAAGCAATATTTTTCATATCTAATGCCCATATCTCAGAACTCCAGCAATATCCAAAAAAAAAAAAAAATGTTAAGGATTTCCATCCGTCTGTGCTAATGCTTAAACCGGATTATTTCGTTTGCTCTGTTCTTGTGCCTGTCAATTTGAGAGGCACATTAGACAGGAAGTGGAGAGCAAAAAAAAAGGTATAAGCCTTATCTTGCAGAACAACATTCCTCTTCTAGGAACAAAAGCTAATCTGTTTCTTGAATGAAAACCAAGCAGGAAGGAAAATAATATAAAAAAGGGACATATTTATAATCTGGTGCACTCCCAAGTCTACAGTTGGTCCTTGACTTACAACCATTCATTTAGTGACCATTTGGAATTACAACAGTACTGGAAAAAAGTGACTTATGACTGGTTTTCATACTTATGACCATTGCAGCATCGCCATGGTCATATGACCAAAATTCAGGCACTTGGCGACTGGCATGTTTATGACAGTTGTAGCATCTTGGGGTCATGTGACTGCCATTCGTAACCTCAGCCAGCTTCCAACAAGGAAAGTCAATGAGGGAAGCCAGATTTGCTTAACGTCATGATTCACTTAACAACTGCAGTGATTCACTGAACAACTGTGGCAAAAAAGGTCTTAAAATGGGGCAAAACTCACTTTAACAACTACCCTCTTTATAGCAAAGGAAATGTTGAGCTCAATTGTGATAATAGTTACTATTTGTATATACGAAATGTTTCAAGGAAGTTTGCCTTACAATAAATTGCTCCCTAAACACACTTGACATCTTAAAGACAGGACTATTTTATCCCTCATATTTTATCCCTCATATTTTATCCCTCATATAGCACACCAGCTTTGAAATGTACCTACCTTAGTTTGCAGTAATAGTTTTAAAATTATTACGGCATTTTAAGTAGTCCATTTGTTCACAATAATTACCTCCAGCACATGAGGAAACTCACAACATTAGGAAATTGTGTATAATTTAAATGTTTTCAGGATTATCCCCAATACCTCTTACTCAAAACCTCAAGGGAACTCTCCTTGCTGCCACTATGACAACTAATTTATATATATATATTAATGAAGTGTTTACTGAGACACCTGGTCTACCCCAACATGTGGGAGGGGGCATTCTGCTCCCTTTTGCCTTTCATCTCCAATCCAGGAGCCCTCAAGCAGTCGCATTCACGACAAACCATTTTTATATCAAATTTATATTTTGCTGATAAAGAAATAAAGGGAGACTAGTAGTTTCCCTTTATTTATCAGCAAAATATAAATTTGGTGTATGTGTATATATATATATATATATATATATGTAATATTTTTTTAAAAAATTATATTCTGTTCTATTCTATACATACATACATACATACGGCACATATATATACACACACACACATATATATATATATATACATTGCTCAAAAAAATAGAGGGAACACAAGCAGAAGACATCCGAGATCTGAATGAATGAAATAACCTTATTAAATACTTTGTTCGTTACATACAGTAGTTTTGTGTTCCCTTTAGTTGTTTGAGCAGTGTATAAACTACTCTGTAGGGAGAAGCAAGGAGATGGGAAATGGGTCATTTGGAAAATATTTGTAATTTGGTGGCTACACAAGGAGAAACTCGAAACGTCCCTCCTCCTCCCTTCTCTCCCTCCTTCCTCCTCCTCTTCCTCCTCTCTCTCTCACCTGCCGTCGCCACCGGGCTGTCAACGCCGCCTCCCGGTCCCCCAGCCGCTGCCATGGTGGCAACCGCGGGGCAGCCGAGCTTTCCCACTGTAACGGATACTTCCGCATCCTACTTGCCGACCTACTTCCGCTTCCGGGAGAACCTTAGCTAGCCATAGAGACGGCACAGAAAGCGAGAGGGTAGGCGGGGTCAAATCCCAGCTTTGGTAATGTTCTTCCTAGAGCGTCACAACGGGGCTGTGGGGGGGCGGGCTGAGGTGGTGACGTTGGCGAAAGCGAAAAGACAGTTTTGCAAAGGGAGGCCGATCAGTTTTGCATTTTTCGACTAGGGGAAAACACAAAGTGCTGGTCAAGTGTTGGGATCCCTTTGCGGAAGCCAGAAAGCTGTAGCCCAAGGAAAACTGGTTACAGAGGGCATTGATCAGACAGGAGGGGTATTGCAATGGGCAAGGAGATGAAGACGAGGGTTTAGTGTAGTGCAGTGTTTCTCAATCTCAGGGAGTTTAAGACCTGTGGACTTCAGTTCCCAGAATTCCCCAGCCAGCTAAGCTGGCTGGGGAATTCTGGGAATTGAAGTCCACAGGTCTTAAACTCCCTGAGATTGAGAAACACTGGTATAGTGTTTAAGGAACAAGGCTAGAAACCAGGAGATTGTGAGCCCAGCCCCATTTTAGCCATGAAAGCTGGCTGGGTGACTTTGGGCCAGTCACTTTTTCTTCAGCCCATGATATCAGGCTCGGGCCACAAACTGGTCAGTCAATTAATGTTGCAACCAGGTCAGCCTGATACTCCTGCCTTTCATTTTCCTCACAACAAGAACCCTGTCAGATGGACTGAGAGAGAAAGACTGGTCCAAAGTCATCCAGCCGGCTTTCATGTGTGAAACAGGATTCGAACTCGCTATCTTCTGGGTTCTGGGTTAGCACTTCCAAAACTACACAAAACTGATTCAGTGAGATGCCCCAATACCAGGCACTCTGTATCCTCAACCGAAGTATTCAACAAACTACCCTAGAAGAATTGTGCAAGAAGTGAAAAAACATTAAGACTGGAGAATTAAATATAACCTTAAGAGGTGCTTATGGTGAGCTTAGGACAAGGCAAAAGAAACATCAGTAGGATGTGTCAATCACAGAAATGGATTGTGGGGGTTCTTGGGCCACAATCTCAAACTCCTAGTGACTCACTTCAACAGAAAATAAAAGAGTCTTTCAGCCTGAGTCACAGAAATCTCAGCAACTGGACTGCTGTCATTTGAGAATACAAGTTGTCTCCCAAGTTGCTAAGAAGGCTTCTGCAAGATTGGAGGCTTTCCTTGTGAGAAAGAAACATTGCCTGTTTAATATATGTGTGCAACACCATAATACACATACATAAAGGATAGAACATCATGATTGCATAACACTCCAATGTGGGTCCAGGGAGTATCACTGCATGAGATACTTCTGGGACACCTCTGGTCACAGAGTGGGTCAAGACAGAACAACCACACAAATCAAAATTGTGCCCCTTTATACATGTGCACTATCGTGTTACACAAATAAAAAAAAAAACCATGCGAAACAATTCAGTGGATGCCACTGATGTCAGGCAATGTTATAGTCCTTGTTAATAAAAAAAAGCCCCAAGTGTACCACATTCTTGTGAGTCCAGTTTCCACTATTGATTATGTAGCATCACAGTGGTATCAACTTTTAGTGACTGCATAATTTTATTTATGATAATTTGCTCTAACCTGGTGTTTCAGGTCTTCCAATGGTGTACTTATTGTCACGGTAACTGAGTCCATCCATCTTGCTACTGGTCAACATCTCAGCTTAGAGCCTTCTCCAGAGAGCTAGGTCTTTGCATAGTGTGTTCAAAATGTCCACTATTATAAGAATGTTCTGATATGATTCAGAGCAAGTGATAGCCAATTGGATTCTTAGGATGTTAGAAAAACAGCTCAGTTAATATAAGGATGGGTGTGGCACTTCTGAATGAAATTCATCTGGTTGGCTCCACTTCAGCTGGTCACTGCCTTCGATTACCCTTAAGTGCAATATGTGATAGATCAAACATGCATTTGGAGGACAGGTAGACCTCAATTTACAACTACAATTAGGACCAGAATTTCCACTGCTAAGCAAGGCATTTGTTAAATGAGCCACACCCAATTTTATGACCTTTTGTGCAATGGTTGTTAAGCAAATCAATCATACGGCTATTAAGTGAATCTGGCTTCCCCCACTGACTTTGCTCGTTGGAAAGTGCCTGGGAAAGTCACAAATGACAATCACAAATCACCCTGGGATGCTACAACTGTTGTAAATATATGCCAGTTGCTAAACACCCAAATTTTGATCACCTGGCCATAGGGGTGGTGGGATGCTTATAAGGATGACAACCGATCATAAGTCACTTTTTCACTGCTGTTGTAACTTTAAACAGTCACTAAATGAATACTTGTAAGCCGAGGACTACTCATAATGATGGAGTACTGATTTGCCTCTCATTTAGAAGAGTAGTAGTTTGCCAGTAAAACATGTTAACAGGGAATGAGGCCTGGTGGACTTCTAAAGAGAAGCTAGCATTTCAGCTCATTGCCATCTTAAATCACTTAGAAAGCTTCAATAGTAGAATTTATTCTATATAATGCCTCGTATTTACTCTTCTCACCAGATGTTGCAACTAGGCAGGGCAAGAGCCAGCACATCACGGATGCAGGCAGAAGGCATACAGGTGGACAGACCAGCTTTTGTCAGGGTGTAGCGACTTCCTGTGTACTCGGGAGCTAAGTAAACTCTAGTGTGACGCTGGGGTGCGTCACTTCTAGAACTTGCTTTGCATTTCCAGACTGGCACCCCAGAGGGTGGAATTTACAGGAACTTGTCTTGTTGGTTTCATTAGACTGGCATTCTTCCCAGTAATGGAATGTTCTACATTTAATGATGGGTGTGAACCTCAGGTCAAATCCGGGTGAGAGGAAGGCATAATATTACCTACATTCAAGTTCTTTCTTCTAGGAGGGTCTGAATATAAATAATGCTATCTGTATATAAGGCTGGTGAATAAAGGCAGGTACATGGAATATGTGTGGGGTGCGTTTGTGCACACATTGGATCCATTGTGATGTTAGAGGAGATACTAGCACGGATAACTTTCACCTAATTAGGATCCTGCAGCAAGTGCAATAGGATTGGGCAAACCAGGTATGCTGCTTGCTAGACAGCCCCTCCCCTTCTTTTATTTTCAATCCCCAGAACTTTCTAAGATATAACACCAAATTATGAGAGCAAATTATTAGTGCAAGTTGCTTCTGAAAACAATGGACTGAAAGCATTGACACTTCTCTCTCTCTCTCTCTCATTCTCTCCCCCTTTCCCTCTCCCTCTCCCTCCCTCTCTCTGTGACGTAGAGTGCCTGACAATAAACATTTTTATTTGACCCTGATGTGGCAACTATATCAGCAAGAGGCATTAAATAGGCAAATATGAATCATTGCAAGTGTCATAACATGTGAACCACAGGGGACATTGAGTTCCTAAGAAATTTGGGAAGAGGCTTTTCAAGTGCAGTTTTATTTGTGTCTGTCAAATTGGAAGCTATGACTGGCACAGCATGCAGCCCCCATGGACAATTCTAGGGGCCAGTAGGGTAACCATGTAACACCACTGTTGAGTGAGCTGCGCTGGTTGTCAGTTTGTTTCCAGGTCCAATTCAAGGTATTAGTTATTACCTTTAAAGCTCTTTATGGCACGGGATCAGGCTACATGTAGTGTATGAGGAACTGTCTCATCCCAATGGGATTGGACCATCCCAATCAATCTGGCAGAAAGGACATGTTGCCAACCCTGTAAGCCAAGGAGTTTTTCCTGGGGTGGTCCAAGAGAAGAGCCTTTTCTGCCATGGCTCCCACCCTCTGGAATACCATGCCATTTAAGGCGCAAGCTACTCCCACCCTCTTAAGCCTTCCAAAAGATCCTGAAAATCTGTCTCTGCTGGTTGGCTTGGAGCCCTGATGTGGGCATTGACATTCCATTTTGGAGATGGTTAGTAAGCTAAGAAGATCCCACCTCCACCTCCTCTTATTGATTCCTACTTACCTATTTTTTTTGTTAACTTTTAATGTTCAATGTTTTAATGCCTTCGCCTTCCTGACCTGGTATTGTTATTGAAAAGGGGAATCAAGCTGTAGCTAGCTTCATGCAGCATGCTGTATTAAAACATAAATGGGTCATTTGTGATTTAATGTGTTGTGCAAACTCATTGAATGTGTGTGGTTTAGTACTTCATGTGAACTCAGCTAATTAGGTTTTATTACAGTAAATTGTAGTTAATTGGTGACTTAGCAACTTCCATGACAACTGTCAAAAGAATTGCCCTCATTTTATGATGGGGAATCCAAAAATGAATAATGTTATGTAAATACAATAGATGCTCCCCTAAAACAGGAACAGCAAGAATCCTTTTCAGCCTTTTTTTTATGTTGGTCTCTCTATTGCACTTCTTTGGAGGACTAAGGGGACAAAATCACAATAAATGACTTTTGTTCATCTTAAAAAAGCTTGGATCAGACCTTGGTTAGGTGGTATATAGGAAGCCACCAGATACCTTCACAGCTTTTTAGCTAGCCTGGAAAGCTAAAAAACATATTGGAAAAGGCAGTGCATTTACATATGAAGAAATCTAGTTGATTATTTTGTTATCAAATATATATATAGTCACTTATTTACTCAAGAAACTCTGGGAAAACCTTCAAACTATTTATGTCCAGATAGTCATCAGGAGGACAAGCCTGCTCCAATGGAGATTATTTAATAGATAAAACCAACGCTTTGGGGCACTGTTTTTCAATCTCAGTGACTTTAATATGTGTGGTCTTCAATTCTCAGAATCCCCCAGCTTCAGCTCAAAAGGGCATTTTTTAAAAAAAGACCCCTCCCTTCACTGATATATGATTCCATCATCCACCCCACCCAGGCCCAGGCAAGAGAGACTGCTTGCTCTTGAGATTCCACACCCCTTAGAGTTAGCTTCCACCCCAGAAAGACGGAACAGCTCTTCGTGTTTAATGAGAAAATGAGATTGATGAACTTAGTGACAGCAACAAGG